CAAAACCTATATACTTATATCTCTATTATACCCACTTGATTTTAATACTATATAAATAATTGTGACAGGAGTACAAATACACGGTACTGGTCGATACACAATGTGCAGCGATATTTCTTTGGGGAATTGCACTGTGAAAAGGTTTTGTTTACATTCCAATATCCCAATTTACGGATGCGTACACGGCTCGGTAGTCATTTCTGGAAGACTAACACGGCTCTGAAGTTACCACCCAAGTTATATCAGAAGGAACTGCACCTATCAATCGATGTTACATTAAAGGTTAAAGCTTTCACTTTTTCATAATAAAATAACACAGTCGGGGCCCATACAAATTTTACCAATCAAATCTGCCCAAGGGGCCCCGACTATGAGTCGTTCTGTTCTGCATTAGAATGTATTATTTGTTTTATGTGTGTATCGATTATAAAACTATTTCAATTGTTTAGTTATTATTACTTAACAGAATTCTAAACTACTGGGCTTGCTTTTTTATTTTTAGTTTTTATTTAATCGTTTCATATATTTTTTAAAATTTGTTTTTACGCAGTCGGGTTTTTTGTTTTTTATTATATTGTGACCGTCATCTGTACGCATTTTGAATGGTTTTTACCTAAACATGAACGATTAGACACTGTTAATGAACATAATTGGTAAGTTTACAGAGAATGGAAGCAGAGCAATGTCAAATGGATAGATTAATAATATCAGACCAATTAATAAAAATCGACCGCCTTGACTATTTTAAAAGGAAAACTTTCTTTCAAAGTTTAGGTAACATCTTAAGGTTTGTTAAGTATATTATATTTAGAATTATATTTATTAAATTATATTATATTCAGAAGGTTAAGAAGCAATACCTTCTTTTTATGTTTACAGTGATATTAATAAACAAACAAGATTTAGCGTCAGAGTAAAGTTACTATTTTACTATTAGTCCAAATTCATATTATACAGAGAATAAACCCACTACCTTCTAGGAGTAAATATTACTCCCGTAGGACTTCGTACTAGGTTAACCTTTGTTAAGTCTCAGTTTAATGATATGAATTTTGACTAATACTAAATGCAGTCTCAGCGTAAATTTACTCTAACGCTGAACCTTGTTTATTAATAACACTATTAGAGTTTTTCTATTTTATCTATCCAAAATGATTTTTGCATGATATTATGTATACTAAAAATGTCCATAACGTCATATCCTTACCCGTCCCAATTGATTTATTTGGAGTCGGTGCATCATTTAGGTATTCACACGTTCCTATAGTACCTAAAGGAAAATTTCTATCTATAAAAATGAAGTTGAGCAAAAGTATATTTTTCATTTCAATTGTAGCTATGGTAAAAACAAAATATTTTCACTCATTAAAGTTATTATTTTGTATTATGTAAATTATTTCTGGTTTTTACTTTGTATTGTGCTAATTGAGTTGCGAACCGCTTCCTATAATATAAAGTATTGAACTCTATTTCGGGTAATAAAATTTCGGGTATAAGCTTATTTTGGGAAGTACATGTATAAATGTTTGCAATAAAAAGTAAATTAATAAATCTGAAATAAATAAATTGCAAAAAAATACATTATTATTCAGTTTTATTTTCTATTTATATCGTATCTACAGTTTCCAGGATCGTCTGAAACTCGTGTCATTTGAAAATCTGTGTTGCAAACGGCTTGAAGGAGTCAGACTTATACAACAGCTGGCCTGCTTCAACTCCCATACTCTAAAATATCTGTTCCTCTGGCGTTTTGTTTTGCCTAATGAAAATCCTATTCTTATAAACTACAGCTACATTATTGGTTAGAAATTATACTAATTTAAATTGTATTCGTATTACGATAAATTCACATTAATAAAATGTAATAATTAACTCCATACCTAAACCGTTGTAGTTTATTAAATTTAGTTAGTAAATAAGTATTTTGCGTATTTCGTGTCATTGTGTAATCGAATTTACAATATGGAGGACTTATAGACGGTTAAAAATCAAAACACTACAAAAACAAGTGTTGCCGAGGGATTACTATTCTATAAATAGTATACGTTTTTGTATTTAAAACGTTGTTTTAATGGAAACTGTATAGATTAGGGGAGAGCGGGGCTGAAAGTGCCGATTTTGACAAATCCTTTAATAAATCCGATAAAATAGTACTAATGTCTGAACGCAATGGTTTATCTTAAGCCATATTTAGTCCAATTAATGAATATACTTCCATATATTGTACATTTTTAATGGTGTTTGAGAAAAAGCGAGGTTTTCATGCTACGTCGGCACGGCACAACCAACCCCCGTTTGGGGCAAGTTGTGCCGTAGCTGAGGTTGGTTGTGCCGTTGATAACGTTAGATGTTTTACGAGAATAAAATTTTATTTAGAATTTAAAATGCATCAATTTTACAATCAAATATTTATTCGTCATACTTGTTAAGATTTAGTTGATAATAATACTAAGGTATTATAATAATAATTAAATAGATATCTTGACTTACGTAATTATTTCAAACACAAAGCATATTTCTATCAATAGTTTGTACTTATTTGTAATGCGAATGAGATCAACTAGTAAAAATATCAGCCTTTTAAGACTATTTTACGAAAAATAATAAAGTTTTCTCTAAAATTAAGTAACACAGATCTTTCCTTATAATAATCATTTTAAATATTAATCAGTCTCTTGAAAGTCTTTTTAAGAAATCACAAAATATAGGTATCAAAACTAGTTATTTTTCAGATGACTGATCAAAAAACCAATAAGGACATATAAAGGCTACGCTTTCTTCAACTTCAATACATTGCAAATGGGCCCAATTCTTACATTCTCCACATTCTATCCATTTTTCTCCAGGGGTGGAGTTAGAGTAGGCATCACACATATTATACAATAATATTCTTCTCGTCATCTTCATCATCGGAACTGTCATCTTGCAAAAACTCTTCTCTTAGCAGGGTTTTTCGTCGGGTTTTTCAATTGTTTAGCTTTTGCCTTGCCCTTTCCCTTGCCCTTTCCCTTGCCCTTTCCCTTGCCCTTTCCCTTGCCCTTTCCCTTGCCCTTTCCCTTACCCTTTCCCTTATTTTTTTCTTTAATTTACTTTGTACCTTCGCTTTCTTTCTTCTTTTTATTAGTCTGTTTTTCGGCCAAAGCATTTTTTTCAGGAGTATCCGTGAGAACAGTTGTCTTTCTTTTACGTCATTTATTGTGTCCAATCAACCGGGGAGGTGCTTTAGGCAGTGGTCTTATTAGTTCGGGTGAGAAAATTGCTGTACTTTTATCTTCTCTGTTATTATCAGCTAATTGAAGATCCGAAGGACCTGGTTCACTTATTTAGTCAACGTTGCAGTCGCTTTACCGAGGAAGAGGCTGTAGTATCGATGGACTAGTCTCAATCTCAACGTTGCTGGCCACATAACTGGACTCATCCAGATATTGAGGATTATTTGCAGGGACAGGCAAGTTGTCTGCTACAGGTTCTGGCATCGAACGATCAGTACCAAAAGAAGGTGCATAATCTTCGTCTGGAAAGATGTTCGAATCATACGGCCAAATGCCAGCCTTTTTAAATGCGTTGCATATATTGGAGGAGTGGTTTCTCTTTAAAAAGTTTGTCAACCAGTCTTTGCCAGCCTCACCATTTCTATGCCATGATTGTGGTATGTTTTACACTTCAAATTTCACGGCACATTGGTACACAAGTTGTCGTACACCTTGCGGTAAAAGACCGAAGTAAATAGATGCGCTTTTTAATATGTTAATCGTCAGCTGTGCCTCCTGTCCTTGATTAAATACTAGTCTTGGTTTATATCCAACCGCAGGAGTATGTTTTTGACGTAGCGTTGTAGTGTTGTATGACAAATATCCATTCTGTGAAAAACAATAAATGCAAAATAAAGTATCACGTCAACAAGGAGTTTCTCTTCTTCATAAGTGCTCGCGTAAAAGCAAACAATACTGGAACCATCAACGTTACTGAGGGGTTGGTTGTGCCGCGGCACAACCCGCCCCACACGAACGGCACTTTTTGCCCCGTTTATGAAAGTGTGGTATTTTGTCTCACATATAAAAATCTGTCAACTTCAACCAATAAAATTACACTGTAAGGCTAACTAGGATAAATAACGAGCATTTTAGTAAAACTCCCATATTAAAATCACAAAAGATTCTAGCTTGCGACCAAAAAGCATCGACCCGAAAATATTTACTTACATGATGCTGGTAACCTCTCACATGCACAGGCACTCGGTCCATTTCGTTGACGCAACTAAAATGGCACACGCGTGTTCTGAACTGTCGGGCATTAGGCGACGCAATACGATCGTATATCTAACTCTTTCCATTTTCGAGATATTGGCATCGGCACAATTTACCCCCGGCACTTTCAGCCCCGCCCTCCCCTACTCGTACATGTTTATACTGAAATATTTTATGAAAGTGAAGTTAGAAAATCTGTGTTGCAAATGTGTTGCAATACTGACTGCTTCGTCGAGTTTTATATGCTTTATTTTGTGATCACTTATGCAATACGAATATATTTTTGTGTATCGCGGACTACACCGATAGCCATGAAGTTTTTATTAAATGTACAATGAATACCGGTTTTTATGGTTTGTCGCTTATATGTAAAAAAAAATAAAATGTCTTGTCACAAATGACAAAAAAAAACAAAATTTTTGCATTAAATCCAACAATAAAAAACCTTTTATAAAAAATATAATAAAAGTTAAATTTATCCATAAAAAATGATTAACTGTTTACCATTTTTAATATTGTGCCCGAGTTTTAAACTGTTTTGTTTCATGATACCCTGTGCGACTCTGCTCGGTATGGTAGGGGTATGGTTTACAGGCGCTTTTAAATACCTTACGAACATCGCTTATTTTAAAGCAAATGCTCTCGTGAACTCAACAACTATATGAAATGAACGAAAAAGCTGTAAAAGTAGTCAAAAACATATATAAACCATATTGGGCGTGTCGTCATAGTTACAGATTGTTTTGAGTAACCATGGTAACAGAACTCGATTCGCCATTTGGCAACAGAATGGAAACCCAGGAAGAGAAGACGAAACTTGCAAAACTTCTTCAGGACGTAGAAATACCTGAAGTTAAACTTACTGAGCGATGTTCACACTTGGTTAAAGACTTTCAAGAAAAATTTGGAAAGGAAGTTGAATCTGAGGAGCAAATAACAAAAGACGAACTGCAGCTCAATGAGAACTTGTGTGATAATCCATACAAAGTTGACAAGGCGCTTCTTGAAGATATTGACAAAAAACTACAGGAATTGCTCTTTGAACGCAAAAGGTAAATTAATTTATAAATGTTGATTGCTTCAATTTTTTTATTTGTTTTGTACGTTATTGTAGCAATGTAAGCGATGTTGTCTATTTATTATTTTTTTTGAAAAAGATGCTTTGGATAATCACGGAATGCGGGGAAATACCAAAGATGGCATTAAACAAGCAATATGTTTGTTATATCTAAATTGAAGTAGTTTCATCTATTAAAAGTTTTTTATTTGTCAATTTTATCAACAATTGATCAGAAAACAATGCGTAATTTCCCTGCTTTCGATATTACTCCAAAGCATTTTTTTAGCATTCATACAATCTAGCTTTAATATTCTGTACCCTGAGCTGGGCTCAAACGACTGAAACTCGTGTCATTTGAAAAAAAAAATATTATGGTGCCACCTGGACCCATATTTTTTTTCTGATTATACATTATTAATAGAAAAATAAGTCAATAATATATAAGTAAAAGTAGCTCGGTGGCGTAGTGGATAAGCGCCGCGGCCCACGATCGTTGTCGTTAAGCAACTTTCGCAAGGGTCGGTCACGGGATGGGTGACCAAAAAATTATTATCTCGAGCTACTTCGTGCTTCGGAAGGCACGTTAAGCCGTTGGTCCCGGCTGCATTTGCAGTCGTTAATACCCTCCAAGCCGCAATGGGCCAGCGTGGAGGGTCATGGCCCATCCTCTTTAACCATCTAGAAGGAAGGCCTGAGCCCCTGCAGTGGGGACGTAAAAGGGCTGATGATGATGATGATGATGAAGTAAAAAAATAAATAAATATTAATTTGAACTCGTATGTCCGCCCGTCTTTTTATCACAGCATATTTGTTCCAAAACTAGCTCGATTTAAATGTTTAAAAATGGAAGCACTTTTATAAAAAAATAATACAAAATACACATTGTGACATCTCAAAAGAAACAGCTTCAAATATAAGGTTAATATCTTTGCGGTTGTGAAAGAATTGGTTGTCTTTGAAACTACTTCATCTACCATTAGAAAAAGCCAATTTAAATTTTACCGAAAAATCTATATGGTGCCTTTTAAGAGACATTTTATTTGACTGCAATTTTCCCTCTGCCGGTTAATTTTCTTTTTTAATAATACATTGCTATAATAATTATAAATTTCAGAGACAAGAAGGGACTGTCCGAGAACATCGTTTTGTCTGAATGTGACCCCAAAAGACCTTGGCGCACCAACTCATCCAAAGAAAGACTATTGCGAATAGAAAATGAGATAAAGCGACATCGAGAGAGAGAAAGTGATCTAATTGCTCCATTAGCTGATAGAGAAATGAGAGAGTTGGTAAATGAATGTAGGACAGAAACTATTAATGCTCGTCCCGTATCAGCTGAAAGGCTGCGGAATACAGTTGAAGCGGCAAAGAAAAATCTGCCAAACTTCCAGTATCGAAAAGTAGAAAATTCCACAGCTACTGCTATTTTACCTGAAGCTCACCTTGAGAAAGATGGAACTCAACGTGAAACGGAAGACTAACCTAAAATTGACCACTAGTATTTTTTTGTCGCCGTTGACATGTCTTGTTTTGTGTTAATATGAATATTAATAAAACGTTATTTATTAAAATTTAATTTTATTGAGAATGTGTAATTATTATCAAACTTTTGTAGAAACACCAACTTTTCGTAACAGTAAATGTGATTGAATTTTAACCCATTCCAAGATAACCTACGGATGCAAATGGTTTCTATTAATGTAATCTATTTGGAATTATCAGGTAGCGGACAATATATACCTCGACCGCCTACTAAGCAATGTTTTTTACGAAGTTTGAGTGAATTGAAAAATCTGAGGATTTTAGCTTTGGAGTATTCTCACATAGCTGAGGGAACTGGTGGTGCTTTGATTGCTCTGTTGCCAGTCATAAAAAGACCACACTTTCGACTGCAGGTTAGCATTATTTTTAAATCACAGTTGCAGTGATGAATTAATAGGTAGACGGTGCCATAGGCAAAGTATTATACAATATATACAAACACAATTAATATTAAGCATTAAGAAAGCAAAAGAAACTGCGTACAGTGCTGAAAACATTTGTCTATTTTAATGTTTGTGCTTGTTTTCACCAAAAATATTTAGTTATCGCCTAAGATTAAAATACGTGCTAACAATGACTAGGAGACACGTTAAGCAATGCCAAAAGTTATCATATGCGTTATGTGGCACCTAGACAATTGTTGAAGCACGATCACCCTAATTTGATTGTAATATGTTCTAGCTGATTTGTCGCGAAGACCAAACTCCAGGAAGAGCCGATGCTGCTCTTGGAGTAGGAGGTTATGGTATACCTGACACCGTCTGGCGAAGAATCAGCATCGCGTGTCCCGATCTTTACCTTCAGATGACATTCTGTCAGTACCTATGGCAACAAAAAATTATATCTAGGCTATATTTTACAAGGACAAGTCGCGCTAGCGACAATATTTAATATCAACAATATGTAAATTTGCAAACATGGAGACACAGCTACTTCATAATCTAAATCGATAAATTATAATCTTAAGATTATATAAGACTAGCTGTTTTCCTGCGGTATAATCTACGCCTGCGTAGATTAGAACCTATGTTCACTTCACCGACTGCTTTCCGTACGCGAAATATGTTTTTAATCGGTCCATTAATTTCGGAGCCTATTCTATGCTAATGAACAAACAATCAAATCTTTCATTTTTATAATAAGTATAGCAAGGGTTGATCCAGCTTTATTGCCAGGAGATAGTCACAAAGTTTTGGTCAAGTTATAAGAAGTCGTAATTTAATTTCAATTATAATAGATACAAAGTTAATTTAATATAATTAAATTAATTATACTTTGAACGTACTACTGAAATAAAATCTATATTGGGACAAAAAATATATACAAAACATAATGTTTAACTATTTTAACTAGTACTCCGCCTAGGTCTTGGACCCAACCCAGGGGTCATGAACTTTGAAAACGTGCTTCTAAATGGCATCTCCCGAAATTCTAGTGTTAATTTCTAGATGAAGAGTACAACAATGTTACGTTATTTTATTTATTTGTTTCATAGTTCGTGTTCGAGATTACGACAATATAAGACGGTTTCTATCGCCTAGTATACCATTAAGGGAGGTTCATTTACAATTCGGTATAGACCTGAAAATGAAACAAAGACAAGATTCAGATTTATCCTGCTTCATTCGTCATATTGCATACCACTTCGGAAACTGTTTAGGTAAATTGTTTGTGAAACTATGCTTTCCTATAGACTATAGATAACAAAACTTTATTTCAAACTAATTATAGGTTCTTCCAATAGAAACTACTAAATCTTGACAATTGATAACAAACTTATTGAAGCTAAATGGAGTGTGAATCGGGAGAATGAGTGGGCTACAAATTTGAAAGAACCGTGCTTAAATTAATGCGTGCAGCTGCAGTTGTATTTATAAGTATTTCAGAAGTTAGTCTAGTAATTATTCGTCAAGTAAAACCTACGAAAACATTTCAGATAACTTCCGAATCTTTAGATAACCTTTGGGTTATGTAAGCAGTCAAATGATCAGTTACTGAGTGAAAAACGTAGTTTTTTTTTATTATTTTAACAGGTATCCTAAGCATTCATCAGTGGCGGTTTCAAACTTTCCCATTGCGGCGTGTGTTCGAGCTGATGCCATTTCTAGTACGCTTCATCTACACAGGCAGAGTTGAGGATGAAGTTGATCTAAAAAGAATGCTAAAGATTGTAGCTTGCGGAGTTTGCGACAGTAAGTTCTAATAGATTAACAAAGTTTTAGGGAAGTAGTGGATGTGTATGTATTATAACAATGAGGATGGGATCCAAAATCTAAAGGTCCACATTTACAATAACAACATTTCCTGAGATATGCGACTTCTATCTAGGCACTTTTAACAGACTGAGTATGGACCTGTCTCATAACGCATTATAAATTTACAGAATTAAAACAAATTTTCATCCAAATTCAAGATGAGGACGCCAAAAGGAATTATTGGCAACAAACTGTAGAAACTATCAACGAGGAATACGAAGATATAATGAAATTGTACAATATTAGTTTTTGTTTATGTCTTTACAAGTGTTGATGTTATAAAGTCTTACAACTTTTAATTTATTTCATTTAGCACTTCGATATTTGAAAGATTTACCACAACAAACACCAAAGAAGGGGTTGTACGCGCCAGATCAACCTTAGCGTCGCGATCATGCAAGTTTGTGTGTCATATCCACAGAACACAGAATGACCTTCTCTTTTTGCAGTGTACGGTAAATAACTTACAACACGAATTTGAAATGACCTACCTAATGATGATACGCAAAATATTTTCTTCTGTAGTGTAACCATTATAAATAAAGGATCGAGGACGTAATGTTTTTGGAACATTACGTGCCAAAATAAAAGTTTATATTATAAAAATAACACTTTAAAAATGTATTGTGTGCTATTAGGAAAGGCTTTTATTTTAATAATATGCTATGTTTAAGTAAGTAATATATTCACAGTGAAAGAATACAAAAACCCATATAACATTTGGTTGCCCGTTATCTGTGCTGTTGCCGAAATAAGCCATTCTTCTAACAGCAGAACACAACATTCTTTATGGCATTATGACTCAAAGTTTGAGAGTAAAATGCATGTTCAGAAATATCAAATATATGTTTGAGATTTTTTTCAACACCAGTCGCTATTTCATGTGAAAGTTATTTATTAATATATTTTCAAGAATATTTTTTAAATAATAAAAAGCTTTATTAATCGTTACAATTTAGGATTGCAAGAACAGCGCTGCAAAGGCATCTTTAAATTGGTGTTGTGTGAAAGCTTGAAAGATATACAAATCTTTTCTCTGTGTTATAAAATATAATACTTTGTTCATATGGACAGTTTGCTTTAATTGAGTGCCTGTCTCCTTCACCTCCCTTGGAAAAACAACCAAACGTAGATTTATCGTAATTTGCATATACCTACGTATTATTATTTTTATTTTTTATAAATCTAATTATGTTATTTACATATAATATTATTAAATAAAATAGCTTAAAAGATTTATTATTAACTTAAATACATTATTCATGATTTCACAACATAGACAACATACATAATTTATTTAAATCATACCATTGAATTTAAATTATACAAAAATAACTTATAATTTATCGATTACAAATACGAAATGTAAGTTACCATAGACAAAAATTTTATTGTAAGTAATTAAAAAAGTATGCAATTAAATCAGTAACAAAACAAAATTAATGTTGTGAAAATTTGATATACAATATTAATGTTGTGTGAAAATAGATATAATATTTTAACACAAAATTAAACACAATTTTATAACAAAATACGGAACCCTAAAAAAGAAGTAAATTCAAGACAATTTGCTGGAAATGAACCGATATCTAAATTTATTTAGCAAATTTCAGAGCACGAATTGAAATTATACATAATAGTTAATTTGAGAATGAAATGAAAGATTATAAAACTTAAAAAAACAGAAACCCATTGAAAAATTTTTTAAAAAGGATTGTCAAGACTACATAACTTAAAATACGATTAAAGTTAAAAAAAAAATCAAAAATAACTTGAGTCTATTTTAGACTTATTGATAAGATTGTTAAGTCCAGCTAAATTAAAACGATCATTATTTATTAAACTATAATCATAAAATGTTTTATTGTATTTTACTTAACAATCCAATGACAAAAAATGTCCAACTACAAAAAAACATTAAGTATTTACTAAATATAAAGTGAAAGTTATATTTACAAATAGAAAAAAGGCGCGGTAATTTAATTGCTAATCTGGTTTACCTATGATAAAACTATAATTAAGCGGGATCCAAGTAACTATTAACTAAGCCACAAGTGATAATCTGAATTAATAATCTAAATTAACATGGCAAAGGGATTTATTCCGATGTATGAAAAAAAGGAAAATACTTTCATGATATACGAAATTATTTTCAATAATTACTTACCGACACATTTAATTCTTCTATGGTTTCGGTCGGCAATGCTTCGTCCTGCATTTCGCAAATGAATTGTTTCGCTTCGCTCAACTACGGTTTAATTTCTTGAAGAACTCATTTTCTATGATAAAGCTGGGTGCCAAAATTGCAACTCAACTAACAGACTGATAGTGTAACAAAACGTCGTAAGAGTCATTTTAGTTTTATTGAAAAATAATAAGGGATTCATCTTCTCATTGGTTAATTAGAAAAATGCGGGGCTTGCTGTGGTCAACTTGTGATGTGAAAGCAAAATTTTTCTTTAACGGGATAGGCAGAATTTTTGTTAACAGTACCTATTTATTACGATGTATGAGGTATGATAATAATATTAAAAAAACGATGGTCAAGACAGTATTTAGTATCAAGGAACACCTCCGTGGTAAAAGAAAGTAATTACAGTTGAGTAAATTTTACAGGAGGAGGAAAACAAAAAATGCTGCATATAAAAGTATTTTTAAATTATTCCATTTTTTATGTAATAATGCGTCAAATAATTTGTTCTACTTATTGAGTAACAATTTAATGACAAATTGTTTTTAATTCTCTTATAAATTATAAAAAATGAATGTCGGTAGTAAATTAATTCATCATCAGCACTTTTACGTCCCCACTGTACGGGCTCAGGCCTTCCTTATGGATGGTTAACAAGAATGGGCCATGACCCTCCACGCTGGCCCAATGCGGATTGGAGGGTATTAACGACTGCAAATGCAGCCGGGACCAACGGCTTAACGTGCCTTCCGAAGCACGGAGTAGCTCGAGATAATAATTTTTTGGTCACCCATCCCATCACGGGCCGCGGCGCTAATCCACTACGCCACCGAGCTACTTCGTAAATTAATTATATTTGAATAAATGTGTCAAGTCAAAAACAAAGTAATTATTTTTACTTTGTTTTTAGTTTCTAACAAGCATATCCCATACAGAAGTTTAATTTAAAATTTTAAAGTAATAACACTTACCTTGTTTTTATGGTTTTTACACGTGTAAGGAAGCGATATCAAAATTAAAGATTATCTAATAGACAGCGTATAAGAATTTGCTTATTAAAATAAAATAGCTTAACATGCAACAGGATTAATAGTTAGACAGAGGGTGGGAGGAGGGTAATTAAATTGATTTAAAGGTAAGGGCATCAACTCGAATTGATATAGGAGCTTACCTACTATAGATTTGTCTTGCAAGTTTCGCTCCGGCGACGAATACAATAGCCTGAAATCGGTAAGATGGCACTTTTACTGAGTAAATTGCAGGGTGTGCAAAGCGCACGGGCGTCGCCGTTTCAGAGGGCGCCGCGGCGCTCATCATGAATTTCATGTTACGTAGTTTATGAACAGGCCTCAAAGTCATCATCAGACTGAAGACAAATGTAATGGACTTTCACAAATGTGCAAACAGAAATAAGAGTAGATCGGTCACATCTGTGGATCGACAAGATGGGGAATAGACAGGTTCTCAAATGAGGTTGTACGTACGTACGACAAGATGGACTGACGACTTCAGTAACCAGCAGAGGCTGAATGAAGATAGGCTTGTGTTTATTTGTACACCCAAAGCTCCCCTAGTTCTCCACCGTCCATTAAAATAGTCATTAGTTTAAAGCGACATTACTGATACAAATTTTCAAATTTAGAACATAAATTAGAGCTTCGTTTGCGCAACTATGTGTAGGTAAGTGATGTTAGCTGATATGATGAGTCATTTTGTAACTAAGCTCTGATATGAGCAATCTGACAATTGTTATTTGTTTTTCTGTAGAACTTTAAAACAGTACCTGCAGTTACTTTGTTTGCCGAAAGTTATTCTCTAAAACAAAGGGACTTTTGACGGTTTCAAGAATGTAGCAATATCGTATTTTTTTTAATAGGTTTTTTTTTTCCGTGGAGCAGCCAAAAGTACCAGTCAACACACCCACAAAAATTATTCAGAGTAGTGTAGGGCTTTTATAAAGCTGGAAAATGATGAAAAAAATAACTGGACGGAAATACAATCGATTAAATAATTACGGGAATCATCAACGAAAATAAACTATTAAGAAATATTATATTTACTGTTAAGAAAGAAACAAACAAGTATAATATTTCCTTGGAGTACTCTAAGCTTAGATGGTTTTATAGAAAGGAAAAATATTATAACCCTATGACGACCATTCGCGGTTTCTTCGTTCGTATAATTACTATTTAGTTTACTTATTATAGGTACTTACTTCTCTCTTACTATGCTCAGATATCCAACATTTTCAGCTATCGCAAGTTCTACAAACTTGAGCAACGTATTAAGATAATCGACGGGTAACGATGACAACAATGTTTTTATCGTAAATGAAACTAAACTAGCGAGACTTTTGAAGAAAGTCGTTTTCCCGCCCACCATTCCCAAGTAGGTAAACACTTTTATTTAATACTACTCGTATGAATTCACATGACACCTGAAGGCTATTCTATTTCTACGAAATCATTTCATCTATTTTCGAAATGCTGATATTAAGACTCCTGAGAAACTATCGATAATTTAAGATGCTGACACTGCCTCTGATGCACAAATAATCTTAACAAATATTATTTTAATACTAATATTATAAATGTAATATCATGTTTATGTATGAGGGACACAAAATAATTTTTTACTATTATTTTTCCTGTTTACTGTTAAAGAAAATGGAAGTACGAAACAAAAGAGTTCACTAGTAGCCGTGGCTAATTTGACAGAGATAGGCAAAAACAGTGCGAGCTGCTGAAATCAATTTAGGGCTATCGCATAAGAACATTGGCTTCGATTTGGTTAACATTTAATTTCTAAATGTTCAATATTTATTGTTAGATCACATATTCAATAACTTTCATATATCTAGTTGAACCAAATGCGATTTAAAGAATCAAATCGAAACCAATTTCGTCACGCGGTAGTCTTCCAAAACAGACAAGGGAGAATGTATGGACACTTCATTTGATACGAAGACTTCTATAAAACCGGGCTGGAAGTAAAAATAACCTAATGACCACTAAAACATTTATCGTGATACTATCGAGAATTTACGAATCGCAAAACGCAAGGAAAATTATGATAATCGCGCTTAGCAAATGTCAATCAACACTACCTCAGAAACTCGGAAGATTACTAACATGTTACTAACAGTGTATATTTTGGCCCAAAAAAATACAGAAATAACATGAGCTAAGCTATTCACTAGAAACGGTGTCCAAAACGACTAAAAATCATTAACGTGCTAAAGACTAACGATATTTTTTTAACGTGTTAATGAAGGCGCTAACTTATTAACGTGTTGATTCAAAGAAGCGGAAGGGTGCGTGAAGACTTGTTGATTAACACGTTTATTATTTTATTACGTATAATATTAAACAATAACTCATTATTATTTAGTCTGAATTAAATATAGCAGTACTTACTAAATTGAAAGAAAATCGATAAACTCCCCTTCGTACTTTTGCGGCTTAGAACTGTCTATTATTCAATTATAGGCGTATTTAAAAGATTTTATGTACAAGAATCTACTATATACATTTGCTATCATTTATTTACTCTCAATATAATTGTTTAACACAATCGTTTATAATCTATTTACACACACAAACTTCTTTAAACATACACAGAATTACACATTATCACTTTAAGTACCTTCTATTCTAAAGTAATTAAATATCGACTTAGTAAGCTTTATCAAAACACAGGATATAGGATCGCGCGTAATAATTACCTACTTAGCGTGCTTCGAGCATTAGAAATGACCAACGATCGCGCTTATGCGTTAACTGCGCGGCCGGCACCAGTCTGGTTTCGTTCGTTCGTTGAATCGTTTTGGAATTTCACGCGTGAATCGTGTTAGCGCGTGTAATTCTTAGCGCTTTCACGTATACCTACTTGGCAGTGTTAATCGTTAAGAGAGAAAAACGTGTTAATTAACAAGCTGGACGCTAACGCTACATCTGTAAAAAACCAGCCAAGTGCGAGTGGGACTCGGGCACGAAAACGATCAAAAATCACATTGTTGTATTAGAGTCCCCTTAAATCTATTGAATTCTTAGTGAAAATCCCACAGAGAATTCTTAATAATAGGGTTTACGTTTTACCCTTTGGGTACCTACAGAGGACAATATGGATATAAGAAAACCTATTCTAATTTTTCCAAGATTAAAAATAAACGACTGTAAATGCTATTAACCACGCAAACGACGTTACGGGCAAAAGCTCGCTCTTCAATAATTAAAAAAGACGTTTTATTATGATAGAGCCCTTGGATAAATTATACAACACATTATTTTTTAGTCTTAATTAAGTTAAACGATGTTAAGTGCACGAGCCTTACATTAGATATTAAGTGGGTACCGTAATGCTTTTTATACCTATATCATCTCTATTATCGAACAGTTGTTTGGGAAATTTTAATAATATTAATATTAGCATAAACAAGAATAAACAATTAAAATTTCCGACATTTTGGGGTTATAATTGTTTACTGTCCCTCACATAAACGAAAACTTGGCAATTAATACACGAATCTCACACGGCGCAACTTTGTCGATGCGTTTTACGTTGTACACCGTATAATCTAATAAATATAATACGACGAATTGTCTTTTCTAATCAACCTATATCATTTTAGAAGCTCATTATGTAGAGATAAAAAGAATTCAACAGGCGTTACACATTTCGAACTAAGACTATCATTTATCTTCAAAACTACGTACTTGCCTATTCGTCTCTATTTTGTAATAAAGGAGTACAAAATGGACACTAAATCCTATCAGGGCAATGGATAATTAATAAATGTCAATGTTTCAATATTAAGGTTTTTTTTGTTTACTCAAATATTACATAATAGCATCAATATATTTAATAAACAAAATAAGTAGTCAGTGCGTTTTCCATAAGTTGACCTATTATCAAATCCGTAAGCGGGTACTTATCCGCATAGTTAGTTACTTGTTTAGCCGCTCCGCGCCCGTCATTAATAATCTAATTCAACGTTTATTATATCTGTTAATGTTTAGTAAAAAATAACCATATAGTTTGTTTTTTCATAAAAAGTTTATTTACATAACGTACATAACTGACAAGAGTAGCTATAGTAATAAATTTAAACTCAGTAGCGGAGATAGATGATGAAAAAGAAAACTAATGAGGGCATTGCACTTTCCTCACCGGGCGGTCTTTGCACGGCGCATTTGAGACTATCGTCAATTGCTTACTGAGACTCTATAATATAATTAAAATTAAACAATAAAATATTTATAAAATCAAAAACGTTGAAATTTAAAAAGATGTACTTATATGTGTGCAAGCGGGATTTAGGTATTTAACAAAAGAAAACATTTTTATTGGATTCAGATAAACGTGTCCATTTTAATAACTGAAATCATCATGCATTTTTACATTTAAATTACTTTTATCAGTTCGAAATTAGCTGTCTATACTATAAAAACAAAGTGATATACAATTACAATAATAATATAAAATCTTTTAACATCTTTCATTGAACTTCATAACTTCGTCCGTATTATATATTATGTAATAATATTATTCTACAGTCTTTCATATAAAGTGCGAATGGTCGGTCCAAGTCATAGTATTTGGAAAAGTTGATCAAGAAAACCATCGCACGCATTGGTGCAACCATTGCAACAGAAAAATCAATTTCATAATTTTATTTAGTTATTTATTACCTCATATTTATCTTAAACAGTTTTGTAAATCTGTTATGCTATTATATAACTATTACTAGGTATAATAGGTTTTTTTATTATGTAAAGGAGCGTTTATATTATACTTCCAGGCAGCATATCGGGAACAATAAATTTCTGTATAGCTAGTACATTTAGTACTATTAATCATATTAGACTGCATTTACAATAGTCGCTTCATCTCTCATATAATACACCTGTCTTTCTTCCTTTCTTCTACCTGGACAACGCAATACGTTGCGTACAGGCGATGCTCTAGACTAATGTAAATGCGCCCTTATTTGCAGTTACTAGCGTTAACCAGTAAGTGTTATTCGCCTATAATAGTTATTGCTTATTAGATGACGATGTATTCTCTGATTGTCAAAAAAAAATCAAACTTTCTTTAAACAATTCAATATATATTCTTACCTAGTTCCCAAAATAAATAGAAAATATTAATAATAAACCAGCTTTATTAAAGAAACAACTTTTAGCAAGAAAGAAGTAAGATAGCCAAGCACGAAAAGAGAGAATACCCAAATGTATTACACGAAAAATGTCAAATAAGCAAAACCATTTATTTCGCTGAAGCTTTGTAAACATTAGTAACCAGAGAATACACCAGTTATTCAGTTTATTCATATTTATTGACAACATTACAATCCTAGATAATAATAACAGAGAATTTAATCAAACCACATGGAAAAATATACCTACATAATTGTGATTTCAAATGTAATAAAAGAATAAACATAAAAAATACGATTGTAAACAATTTAGGTAACGGCGCATGTAAAATGCTAGTAGTTAACATCCTATTTCAATTCAATGTCATAAAATACGATACGAAGTTACGTATTAAATTTGCAGCAAATTTAATTTAGAACCTTGATAAATAACTATCGCTTTAAAAATATTATACAACTTTTCTCTAGCTTCTGTTAGGGTTAAGCATTATCATTATAATAATATAAATCTATGAGTTCCGTTTAGGTGATTCTAATATATAAAAATATAGAAGACATTGTAAGCGGGTGCTTCGGAGGCGGCCGGTTGTGCCGTGACGGACGCTGGCTGTGGCGGCGGCGCAGGCGCGGCCATTGGCGCGCGTCAGTCTTCGCTACACGAGTCCTCATTGTCCCCCTCCCGGATGCTTGTAAAGAACGACGTCAGCGCCTTTAGCATCACACCTGCAATACACGTTTCAATATACATTACATACATACTTATGCAGCTTCAAATATACGTTTTTCACACTTGTTATATAATTAATTTTGTTTTACAATTATGAGCCAAAATCGAACCTTTGCCTTCTGGTTCCAAATCACAATCTTCCCACGCAATGAATCCATCTACGGTAATTATATATTGATCATAAAAATATTGGAATATCTCTAATGTCAATCCTGAAACAAAACATTTTCAGTTATACATGTATTTCAGATTGAGTTTGAAAGAATTTTTTTATTTTTTTATTTATCAAACTCACCTTGTGGATGTTCTAGCCTATGTATTAACTGTTGTATACCAATCAAACAGTGGACTTCTCTAGCCCGTTTCGTTTCCCCGAAATCATTGATCAGACTGGCGTATTTATTCATTCGTTCCTTATTGAAACGCGGTACATCTCGTCCTTCTGGACCAAATAGAGCATGTTCGTAAATCGCTTGACTCATTGCCCGCATGAACCAATCTTCATTGGATGCTTTACCGAGATTATCCTGTTGTACAAAAATATGATAAATACCATCTACTTTCTTTCAAAATTCTCATTAATTTTTGACTGGATCAACTGATTAAACAAAACTAACCTGTACCCAGCCCTTAATACAATCACAACTTTCATCTGAATTCATAAGTTGCAAAAGTTTTTTCTGAGCTTGTGCTGGTGTCAATATTATCTTGGTTTCTTCAGAATCCCTGGAACCGCCTTCCAAGAATTCAAATTTATTTTCTTCTATCCACTTTGCCACCTACGGATGTAATAACGACGATATAAGTCTTTTAACGCTTTTTTTATTTGTATTCAAATATATTCCCAGACCTCAAGGTATCTAACCATCTTCTTCCATCACAAATATGAACTCAACTTTCAATAGGTTACTTAATAAAACTGCATTGAAAAGTAAATTTAACTGTTTGGCGTTGCATAATTATTTGATCTTATGAAAGCAATTATTTCTGACGTCACTATATTTGAAAGTCTGTTCATATATGCAACTTTTAATGGCATAATACACAGTGTTTTGTTACACGCCGAAAATCAAAAACCAATTTTTAACTATCATATTTAAGATATAGTTTAGATTTAGATATATGTTATACATGCATACATTCGTAAGATTAGTTATTTGATCTAAATAAGAAATTATTGTGTATAACCTAAATTTTCACATTTAAATAACACATTTTTAGATTACATGATCTTATTAAAAATCGTACCTGATCTTCGCTCATCCATTCTTTTAATTGCAACTCAGATTCTTGCCATTTACTTTTCACAAAAGTGGGACCCATGCTTTCCTTTAAATCCCTCATCACTGCTTTTAATAATAAATGTCCATGACCAAATTCAATTATATTTTGTGACAACCTAAATATTTGCTTGAATGTGATATGCTAAAATAAATATAGAAATAAGTTAGTGATGCATTAATGCAATAATAAAACAGTTATTGTTTTGTGTAGAGTAATACCTTCTTTTCAATTTGTGGTGCAATGAACTTCCCTAAATATTCATACAACATTGGGATATCAATGTACATGTCTGTCGCAAATTCGAAAATCTCCTTCATACCAGACACAAAATTATCAGGTGATATTGTGTGGGTTGATACTAAATGTAGCACTGATTTTGCTAATATTGAAATCTCCTTTGATGCCCTGAAATTCAATGCTTTGATGAAAATGTTATCTTACAAGAACATTGTCAAAAATAAATAAAAGATAGCAATATTATATAAGAAATAAATAAATTAATATTCTTACTTTTCTAAAGCAACATTGAGTATTTCAGTGATCACTGCAGCATGATACTGCGGAGGGAACAATTGCTTGACATCAGCGACTAATTCATCAACGTCATTATTGATGATACAAAGGTCTATCGTCGATTTGACTGACTTTTTCTTGGCTTCAGGGAGCGGCTCCTGTGGTACGGAAGCCACTTGCGGTGCGGGCGCTTCTGCAACTGGCGGTGTAACCGGCGTAGCACTTGTGCTACGACTGCCAGAATTAGAACGAGCTGTTCTTGCTGAACCTGAACGGCTACCATTACCGCTGTTAGCACCTACAAGAGAACAAAAATTGAGATCCAAATAATTCCATATCATTCAAGGAAAACAAAGTGATTTTTAATGTTAAAAATGTAATGACACTTATGAGCAAATAAATATACTTACTAAAGTCAGCTCTAGAATTAAACGTCGATCTCTCAATTGATGCACCTTTAGAATGGTATGCAGGCGTAATATCTTTGTTCCCTGTTAATTTAACAACATCTTACTAAAACGTCAATACATATTGTATAACCAAAATATCTGTAAAATAAAATATGTTTACCTCTAAGCGTTGTAGTATCCGTTTGTACATTTTCTAAGATTCCATACATATTATTTTTAGTAAGACTAATCATAGAATTACTACCCATTTGAGCAGTATTCTTTGTGCCCGATCCTTGTGTCCATCCAGAGCTTGGAGGGCCTAATTTTATATTATTCAAATTCTGAAAAATTAAAGGGATTTGTTAACCATAAATATGGTTCTTTACATCTAAATATGTATAATCTAGAGGTTGTTTTAGTGTTTCATTTTAAATCCTATAAATAATAGAAATAAAATTACCTTTGGAGTAGCAACACTCACAGCTTTTAATTTCGAAGTATCTACAGTGTAGCTATTCCTAGTAGTTTTCCAGTTATTGCTATCCATAAAGGAATTAGCATTCTGCCTGTTACGACCTTCGCCTCGTTTCCCACGGCCTCCTTCGTCGCGACGGAATCCGCCGAGAGGTGCAGCATTCATCAACTAAAATATTATACAAATTATTGAAAAACTCTCAAAATATATAAATAAATAATTTACGATGATAATAACGTTACTCACTTCTATATGACGTTGTTGTTGTTCAGCTTCCTTCTGAATCTGATCCATCATCTTGGGCTGTGAGTCTACAACACTCTTCACAACCCATCTCCTCTTCCTAAGTTCAATAACATCCTGAATCATAAACCTAACACGACTGCTTATTTTATTTGACTTTCGATCAACAACAATATCTTGCATCTTCTTAAATACACTATCGAGCTGATCTCTGACCTCGCTTTCAACTTGCTCTCCAATAGTTGTAAGCAATTTGCATAAACATTCTAATTTTTCTTCTTCTAATTTCTCAATTAAATTATTCATACAATATACCATGATTTTGGCAGTTAACATTTTCAATTTATATAATTCACCTGTAACAATCATATAGAAATTATAAATAAAGGAAGGTTCATTTTCGTTCTTTTTTGTTATAAAAAATAATATAATTTCTTAGCACAAAGGTGTCTAAGAATATAATTAAATTAATAATATTAAGCGGAACTATTTAGTGTTCAAGAAATTTTGAAAATCAATGTAATCCTAAAAATATTGTCATATAATTGGGAAATTAATTCAATTCAGCATTTCGCATTGGCTTACACAAAGAAATAAATAAAAATATACAACACAGCTTTGCTAGTACAAAAATGTCCATAGTTTTGCATCAGCTCTGAATTACATGCATAATAAAACATTTTGTAGTATAAGTTAGACAAATCGCTATGTTACTATAAAACTTTAGGAAAATATATAACTTACCAATAAATCGCACATTTCCAACAGATCTCATTCGTAGACGTCTGTTTTCTTCCTCTAATTGTACCTGAAGTTCTTTTTTCTTGGCCTAAAAAATATTAAACAGAAATGAACAATCTGTAACCTTTACACTTAGATACATAAAAAAAAATACAGATAGTGGCTATCCAAAGTTAAAACACTATACTTACAGGGTCAGAACATTCCGCTAATTCCTTTTCCAATTTTATAATATTTTCATCAACTTTGTGAGTCTCAAATTGATTTTGGCATTTGCTAATAATCAGAGCTCTGAAATTAACACACTGTTCAGGATTAGCTGCGTTATCAGCTGGCACCTTGAGTGTGGACAACTTGTTACACATTTCAGCATAAGCTTTTGAAAAATTAGGTTCATCAATAGCCTTTTCAAATACCAGATCAATAACACCTTCAAGACGTTTCTGATTGTTGATCTCCAGGTGCTGTACTTTCTTTAGCAAAGTATCAAACTTCTGTGGTGTCAGCTTATTCAATATTCCCCTGAATTTCTTATATACTTCCTGAAACACAATATATTGAATACTTATTTTGTTCTATATATATATATATATATATGTGTGTTCCGTAACGAAACAGGTGATTGATAATTAACTATAAAAGACAACACAATTGTAAGTCAATTTTTTATTGTCTATGGGCAAGGCGATTAGCTGTCTTCGTTCCTAATCCCCACCCTTAATCCTTGGGTGACGGGTTTTTACTGTGAATTCAAATTGCTAACTGCACGCACTTAATTTTGATTGAGCTTGGTGAATCGTTCATTATCGAGAATAAGAACATTTCGGAAGAACAGTGGATCAGTGCCTATGGACTATATATCGTGTATGATATCTTCGCTGGTAACCGTGTCGACACACCCCGTTCCAGAACCCAGCCCTCGGAACCCGTGGCGGTAAAGGATCGCTTGCGGTGAGTCGCCAACCCCTGCTTAATATCGTACAAAATATATATATATACACATATGAGCAATAATAAGATATCATATCCCTACCTGTGTTTTGCAGTCTTCTTCTGTAAGGTTGTCCTTCCTGAATCTGGAAGGCTTCCATGCAGAATCTACTTGATTGAGTTTCACTTCCTCACGTAATGATAATGACACATGGATAACTTGTTTTTGTGATGAGCTACCACTCGGTGTAGGCGCGAGTTTGATACTGCTCTTACCTTTAATAATAAATAAAAATAAAATAAAGAATATTTGAGTACAAAAAAGCAGATATAAATATATGAGTACTATGCTTACCACTTGGAACCATATTTCTGCCATCTTTTTTAGCATCACGTGGAGTATTGCTTCTAGAACCCATTCCAGGACCTTTAGCAAAGGAAGGAAGCAAGGCATCATTCATAGGTCTCGATATAGCAGAGAATGCCATAGGTTCTTGCATTGGTGCAGTCTATGAAAAAAAAAATAAGACAAAAATTAGTGTTTTGTTGTATTGAAAAAGTTTTCATAACAAAATAAAAATCTTTAATAATCACTTACTCTGATGATGTTGCATGCTTCTAATAAAGGAACATTGGGTTTGTTCTTAGAAAGCGGGTCATCTTTTATTTGCTTCAATAATCCAATATCATAGCACTTCTTGCCAGATTTATTTAAAGGAGACCATTGATCTGAAAGTAGTACAAATATTACTTACACTGCTTTTGATTAAATATTTATGAAACTATGATATATAATTAAATTAACAATATTTAGTACACAATAAATACTAGCCTTCACTGTATTTGTATTTAGGAACAAACACAGGTGGAGCCGTTACTACTTCGGGAATCTCCACAGAAGTTGGGTTGTTTACTAATTCCTCCTTTTTGGTGATATCCTCCTCTTCTAAACTACTTACTTTATCAGTCTCATCTTTACCATTTTCATATGATTCTGTCTCTTTCAAATTGGTTTCATCAGTAGCCATTTTAGTTGATTTCTTATTCTTACTATTCTTTACAACTTTTTCATTTTTATTTAAATCTTCTTTGGGTGCCTCAGATTTAGCTACTTCAGTTGAGTTACCATTGGCAGTATCAGGATCTTAAAAATAAAAATATTTATTATGAATTATAAGTAATAAACAAGTATAAGAAAAGTAATAATACAATAAAGTAACTAACCCGTAGACTTGTTGTTAAGATTAATATCTTTCATTTTAGATTCAGGTTGATTAGTGCGAAGGCAGCTGGCTAAGCTTTGAGTTAACTTGACTTGAGCTTCAATTGCACTGTTAGTGGATTCTTTTGTCTGTGGTGATATATCAGGCACTAAAGGCTGCTCCTTGGCTACTTTCTCTATGCTTGCAGATAACAATTCTGTAGCAGTTGGTGAAACTGTTTCTAAAGTTGTTTCACTCTTTATAGTTTCAGCTTTATTTTCAGAACTAAATATGTCATCAGATTCTAGAGCAGATGATAGTTGCTTTGATGTTTGTTTCTTCAGTTCTGTAGATACAATTTGGCTGCTTTGACTAGTTGAGGGGTTGATAACTTCTGGTAAGTTATCAACTGAACTAGTCACTGTAAATGAAAAATGTGAATTAAGTTTCTTAAAAACGCTAAAATATCAAATCTATGTAAAGGTAATCATGATTCACTTTTATTTTGCTGTGGGGAATAGATTATTTCCTGATGCTTATCAAGGTGACAAGTTATATTTTTAACCCATTTAGACAAATTATTTTTTGTTTTGAAATTGTTATTTTGAGGTAAACTTATTAAAGGTTATCTTAAACTAGTAGCTAAACGGAGGGGCAATGGGGGATATACCATACAGGGTACTGTTATTCATATAGTGAATGCATAAAATACAACTTCAACCAATTGTTTTTATTAACTTTTTAATGTGATACAAAAGCGTTATATTATTTTTGTTTTTACACAATAAGATATTCAACATAACCTCCAACATTATAGCCGACCCATTTAGTAGAAAATTGTTAGTAATATCCTTCAAATGTTTCGTTTGTATTAAAGTGATCACTGTCACTGTCTGCTGTGAACTGGTTCCTTTATTCAAATAAATGTCTTTGCATAAAAGCATCAAAAGACAGGCTGATACCAGGGGCATATCTTCATTGGTGCTATGTTCCTTGTCAGGGAATGCTTGAGTAACACTACAATTTTGACATCAGTGGGAAATTGTCAAGTTAAGATTCTTTGGTTTCAGTTAGCAACACAAATACTTTGTCAGAAAACATTAAAGAAAACTATTCTACAAAGGATTGATGGCCAAATAATTTTTTGCAATCAAAAATAAATAGGGACAGGATTAAGTTATTTTTCCTCCAATTGTATTTCATGAGAAGTTTTCGAGTGTCATTGGGTTATTGCTCTTCAGTTACTTAGTGCCTTGTGTACTTTTTTGTTGCTCCTTGGCAGGCTTGTCATTGTTATGGAATTGAAGCATGGAACACCTGAACTGTAAAAAGTCAGAAGTAAAAAATTTACCCAGATTGTGACACTGTCATCTTTCTAGGATTATTGCAGTTCCTACTACAGCACAAAAAATCTACAACAATAAAACACAAAATAAGATAGTTAGAGTCAACTGTCATTAAATATTTTGCTCACATATGAGCCTATGGTACCATGTAATATAAATGTGATTTTTTTATAATCAAAGAGTATATCTGTAAAAATGAAATGAAATTACAATAAAATAACATGAAACTTACCTATTCAATGACATTATAATTTTTTTCCTTTCTGATAGAGATCTTCACATATTGTAACATTTTATAAGATAAAATGAACACTCCTCAACTTTATAGTAAATAAAGTTATTATTTAGTGGGTATGTCAAAATATTCAGAGAACAGTCACTGTACCATATAAACAGTATGTCTAAATGGATTAAAGAAATATATAGTTTTTAAAAAGGACTTTAATGAAATAATAATATATAGACCTTATAATACTTTCTACACATGATCACTTTGTAATAAATAGATCTTCAATTATAACAAAGTGATCATGTGTCACTTTATAATAATTAAAGAACTATTTATCTCTAGAATTACATAATAGAACACAGAAAATAAATGTGTAGCATTTAAATTCACAATATTAACAAGAAGATGTACAGGTTAGTTCAAGGTTTGTAAAGACAAGACTATATGTATAACACTACATATTCATGTAAGTGGTGAATATATTATACAAAAATGATTACAGCATCTCACGGACTAAACCATTATCTTACTTGGGCTACCTAACATACTAAAACTGTATAGATATATACACACGAATGTACCATGATGTAAAAGATGAGAATAGTAAAAGAGTTTTACATGGTATTTTAATTCAGTCAATGCATTCAAAACAAATCTTTTAAATTTTAACAAAAATATGATATAATAGATAAGATATACATGGCCATTTCGTAATGATAATTCTGAAAATGGACGATGGTTGTGACACCTTAAGAAACTATCCGTAATGTGCGTGAATTACGAATATATTCAATGAAACACAAATTTCAATAAATACTTGAAATAAATTATGGCTTATGAGAAAATTGTAACATAGCAGGTTTTAGTATCGCCTATCACTTTTTGAGAACCAAGTTCGATTTCTATAAATAGAGAGGTGAGGTATTTCCACGTGGGAGTTTTTGCTCGCACAGTACCTGATTATTTAGAGTTTAAAATGTGGCACTGATTGCTAAAATATATCACAGTTGCACAATCCTTTAGTTTTCATAAAGAAACTTCACACAAAAAGCACAATATAGGATAGCGTAGCAATATGGTAAAGGAAAGTCTATCGAAAAGGTCACTCAAGGATCTAGAATGTCTGATTTTAACACTCGTTGCACTTCAACCACATTACTTATATAGAAAACTTAAATAATCGTTAATACTAAAAATGTAAAAAAAGTAAATCTATGTAGTTACAAAAAGGCCAAGAGTTATAATGTCTAACAGGCAGCCATGCTCAAGTGACTGTGAGTGAAGTAAAATCCGCCATGTTGGATCGTTCCATGCGGACAGGCGGCCTAGTGCAGCTAGTGTTGTGCGCAAGTACGTAACCAATCGATTTAAAATAGTTACATCGAAATTTAATATATCTCATTTGTAAACATTTACTTTTAACTCTCAATCGATTATAATATGGTTGTATAAAATTTAAATTGATTGACTAAAAATAAGATCGACACTGTAATTATATAATATATTAATGTGTTTTCGTAGCGATTAAAGCTGAATCAAGACATTATTTTTATTATCAATCGATAGTAACCCTGGAGTGCTAATTTTCGTTTTTAATATCTTATTAATATCTTATAATGTGAATTCATAAATTTTAACTTTTACAAAAAAGTAACGCTATTTTCATAATAAAAATACATGAAAATAAGGTAAATAAGCTATGTAAAGGCAAATTGACATGATTTTACCTAACAAGGTTTGTAATAGGTAATAAAGATAAAGATGATAATTCATACATATTAATTAAAATAAAGACAATATATTTATTATATAAAATTTAGGAGTTTATACTATTTTTACCCGACTGCGCGACGCAAAGGAGGGTAATGTGTTAATTACAACGTTTAATAATAATAATTACGTGAATGTCACCTAGTTTTCGGACTTTTTATATTTTGCAATTGAATGAATTATTCAAAAAGTCTATCTATTATTTTTTGGGTAACTAATATTTTTGACCTTAAGTAAACTGACAGTTTCACAAAATTAGGTTCAGCAGATTTAAAGATGAAGATTATTAAGTTTTTATTTCATTTAAAATAAGGCGAGACTCCCTGGCGTGGTAGTTTAATTACCTGGTCGTGAGTGGTCTTGTGCTAGCGTCTTTGACATAAAAGAATTTTCTTCAGACTCAAATAACGTCTAGAACCCATTCAAAGACTTAAAATTTTAGCGAAAAATAAACTCCAAATTTAACATCAAAATGTTGATTATTGCCCGAAAATGCGGCCTCCATGACCTACTGTCCACAAAGGTATCTTACATGTATTATCTTCCGTCTGGGTGTTATTTTCTTAATACAAGTGCTTTTCTTCTTTCCTATTTTTCGCGATCTGGTTAACGCTTGTGTCTTGAACATTGATCTTACAATATGTATATTAGTGATACTTCGCTGTTACAGCTGTTCTTATGTTTGCATTTGATTTATTTGTTTGTCTATCTAATTGTAAGCACAATCTACTGTTTAATGTTAAGTTTTTTCTTCTAAGGTTGCCTAAAAGAAATGGCTAGATGGCAATAAGAAAGCCTTTAGTACATGGTAGTGTTAAATATTTATATATATGTCCAATAACCTGTGTACTTTTCTCGTTGTACATTAAAGAGCGTAACTTCATTATACAAAAAGCATTAATATAAATATTCAAAAATATTCATATCAGTAAGAGCAGCAATGTTCGCTTCGTGCTTGCCATCAATGAGCAGATAAGTTTGTGTGTACAATAAAAATACATTTTGCACGCTAATAATTATTACACCCATAAATACTACATACTTTGAACTGCGCTCTACCCATCATATCGAAAATTTCAATTTATAATAGATAAATTTTATCGGAAATAGTTCCAAAAAACTCTTCCTTACCACATCCAAAGTTAATATATAGCATACAAAGTTTTGTCACTGAATTACTAATGCATTAACTACTTAGTCTTATCAACCTATGCCACATAGACTTAGTAGCATTAGCCACAGTTAAGCCACATCAACAGTAACTTTCATTGACGAGTTGGTTAGTTTTAAAAAAAAAAGCATGCAAATTCTACTCTTTTTTTATAATGTTCTGTGGTAATAATCGTAAAATTAATTCAAATCATGGACTTAGTCCTATATAACAGGCTTATAACTCAAAATAAACTTTAATACTATGAATTAGTCCTATATAACAGGCTTATAACTCAAAATAAACTTTAATGCTATGAATTTAAGTGTACTTTTCAGTGTTCCTTCTACAGAAGCTAATCAGAGTCGAAAGAGATAGTCACAAAGGAGGACGTGTGTCTCGTTCTTTCATCTATCCATTATAAAAAAAAAACTGAAATAACTTTGTATTTTAATGGAAACACTTGTATTTTAATGGTTACTATTTTTTTAAATTTAAATTATGGTATAATCACATCATATTATTTTCGTTAATATTCAATTATTACTATAAGATAATATCAATTAATTATCAAAGCTATTTGTTTACTACTGGTATCCCTTTCAAGTGCCATGGCGGTAACAAATTAAGACGTAATTTTCGAATATTATTTGGTATTTTTAATACAGTAATTTCTTAAACATTTCAACAGTTAAATTTGTGAAAAGTGTTGCGTTTATGTTTGTGCAAGTGGATCTTGTAGTGGTTGCAATACGTTTTTTCACGATAAAGATAAAAATAATAACAGTGTAAATCTAACATCTAAGTTTACAAATGAAGTCTTGTTAATTACAAGACTTCATGATAATATGTGGATGATGTGCATGTAATGTGGTCATAGCAAAGTATTATAACAGTTATCAGAAAAATTAAGAAATGCGACAAAAATGTCTCAGCATTTGGGGGCAGATACGTGAAGCAGAAATAACAGTGCAGTCGTCACTGTGAAAGGGTTTAAAAATATTTTAACAAACGAAATTTTGATCGGTAAAATCTTTGTCGCTAATATTAAGATTGGTTAAGTACACGAAAATGTTACATATAGCAGCCTCTACTAAGCACTAGATGACGCTACTGTACTATTAAAACGGGATTTTTGTTATGTTTTTAGTCTTTATTTTTTCGATTTTTTATTAAAGTAGCTTTCGTTTTCAATTTTGCGGTTTTTCCAATAACATAATTTAATTGGGAATTATTAATAGCGTTAAAAATTAAATGTTACATTTGGCTGCCTCTGCTGAGCACTAGACGACGTTACTGTACTTTTTAAACGGGATTTTGATATTTGTTATGTTTGTAGTCTTTAATTTTTATAAAACAAAGTAGTTTGTTTTTAATTTTGCGGTATTTCCAATAACATCATTTAATCGGGAATTATTAATCTGGCGAAATAATAAAATGCTAAAATTTGCTTTTTTTTTTGATGAATCTACTGTGTTTTTAAAACTAGTGTGTTTGTATGTATGACTTAGCTGTATGTAACAAAAAATTGTAATTTTAATATAAGATTTGCTAATAAACTACCTTTGCTATTAGAAACTCATATGTGATGTCAATTAAGATATTTAATAATATCATACCAGATTAACAAAGATCGGTGCCACAAAAATTATACCTATATCACTTTTGAAAACATGGTTAGTTGATAAATGCCTTTATTCAATAAATGAGTTTTATAATAAAAAAATATATTATTTGGAACACTTTAATTGAATGAAATGTAATAGTTAATAATTAAGTAACTAAATAGCTAAGTTATTGCATGCCGTTTAACAGTAGAGATATGAATATGAATTCAGTAGTTGGATAGAGTACCTTTGTTTCCATAATCTTTGTGTTATGTTTAAAAATTAATTAAAGGTTTTCTCGCTTTCCAAATTTATTACGTTCACAAGTCGAATAATTGTAAAAACTACAGAGGTTTCGATTATTTGAGTCCACTAAAGTAATTGAAGATTAATTTATTTTTTATGCTTAAATAACGTGAAATACAGTAAATAGCTTTTTTATAGAATACATGTATTTTATTTGCGAAATAATTAGCCTATAAAAAACCGGCCTAGTTGCGAGTTAACTGGTGCACGATGGGATCCGTACCTAAAACGGGAGCCCTCGTAAATATTTATTTTATTGGTTGCTATAGCGTCAACAGAACTACATCATCTGTGAAAAATTGACCAATATCGACAAATTGTGCGCACGATTCGTGCGATATCGAATTCCATGAAAATCCTATAACTATCTAAAATAATTAATAAAAATATACTTATTGTAACAAAAAAGTTTAGCAAGATATGATAATAGCCGCAATAATTAAAAATGGAACCATATGAAAAGTCTTACTCAATTTAAATGTCATTGTCGCCCTATTAGAAAGGGACAAATAGCCTCTATACTTGATAGCTGGCCCAGCTCGCTGTTCAGCCGGGAGTACTCTGTCTTGTTATATAGTACTAAGTCCAAGATTCAAATGGCATGGATAAAAAATATGTGTAGCTTTAAAGCTGACGTTTCTTTCAAAGAAATCATAAAGCGGCAACACTAGGACTATTGAGTGAAATCTATCTAAATCTGTTTTTAATATCTTTTTTTTTAGCTTTTTTTTCCGTGCCGAGTTAAACACTCGGCACGGAAAAAAAAGCGTTGGTTTGTCTCGTACTAGTCGTTTATCATGTATACATATGTCTACGACCTGCCCAATAAATGTTACCAAAAGACAGAATCACACAATGCTATATATATTTATGAACTAATATCACTGAACCTCTTTCTCAATATAGGTTAAGTGTTAATTAATTACATTACAATTATTGCTAATCGTCAAGTACAAAAGTGTATATTATGTCACGACTAATGCTTCAATAATAAATCTCTGAAGCAGCGAAAGACCACCCAAATCTTTAATGAATTTATTAAAAAATATATTTAAGTGCAAATCTGTCGAGGAGTCTGTCTGGGAGAGTCATCAAACAGCTTACGGAAGTATACGTTATAGAAGTGTGTAAAACTTTACTGTATCGACTTAGTGAGTCGGTAAGTATTAATTGATTCGGATTTTTGCACTGATTCAGATGCAAATCATCCAAACTTTAGAAAGATACGGTTTTCGCAGTACTAATGCTTTAGTTAGTGCCACGGAATTCTAGCCGAGTTTACAAGATCGAATGTAATTTCTGACTGACAAGACTCTACGCTTCTTCGGTCAGATATGCATGAACTCTTAAAATTTGGTTTTTCTGTATAAAAAATAATGCCACGTGGGTTCGAAAGCGTCTATCCTAATATATTTTGTTACCAGTGCAAAAACAGTATTAAAACCTTAACAGTAAGATCCATCAATCATCTCACGGAAGTATGAGTTAGTTAATACTACGGAATTCCCGTTGAATTCACAAGGTCTAATATGATATCATATAATTTGAAATTTTTGATGTTTCGCGAACGACAAGACGTAACGCTTCCGTCAGATATATACCGTCACTTCCAGATCACTATCTGTCATTTATTTCATTTTCATTTTACACGTAAAAGCTAATTTATTCACTTAGCATTGACAGAATTGTGCGAAATGCGCAGATAAGCCTTTAACAAAAGAACAAGAAGCCTTTTTATTTGTGCATCTTTGTAACTGTTAAAAATGCCACGTGGGTTTTAAAGTGTCTAACCTAATTTAGTTAGTTACCAATAGAGTATTACAGCCTTAATACTAACAAATTTAATAAATATGAAAGAGGAAGGAATGCTAATTTTGCACTTTACATGAAACTGCTTAATATGGGACTGCTGCTGCTGGTAAGGGGATGATTTGACATGGACAAAGAAAGAAACACGGGAACGCACTATTTTTATCACAAAATTAACGATATATAGAGTAAGGACATTAGATATTAAGAGTCGCTTGTCAATCAAATAGGTACATAATTGGCAGATGAAGCAGCGAGTAAGTTAACTGGTTATCTATTTATTTATATATCGGTTAGCGCTTTTTAGATTAACTATGTTAATTGGCTATTTACTAATATTTAAATTTCTTGAAGATGGTGAAAGAAAAAAGGTGGTGAAAGTATGTAGACAATTCAAAATCGAAGAGAGTCGGCTCTGAACAAGTTGAATTTAAGCAGCCGTATGCAATACAATATAGTATAATGAACTCACTTGTATACAGTAATTTCAACAAATTGAATAAATAAAAAGATAAATGTGAGGAGTATTAACTGTCGTAAATTAGTATATTTTATTTTAAAACAAGTTTATAGTGTTACATCGATAATATGGATTCGTAAGTTATAATTTATTATACTCAGAATCGCTATGAATTTTCGGACTCGCTGCTCTCAATCAATATTAATTATGAAATCTGATTTCAAATCATTTTTTTTTATCCGTGAAGAACAAGACATTTTCGATAACGACTGTACCTATCTTTAAACTCGTGGCATTTTTATTAAGATCGTGGACTGTTCGTACGCCACACAAATAATCGCCTTGATGTGACAGCGCAATTGAGTGCACTACGAAGTTCGCTTAGGAGCGTACGTCTGAGTGAGAGCACGAATCTGACCATTTATTCCTAGTTACCCTGTTGCCTAGCTTGTACATATATAATAAATTGTGTTATATTAGTTGCAATGAATAGCTGTTGAAAAAAACTATTATTTATTTAATTAATTGAAATTAGCAATACATACCGACAGGTGGCGTGGGTCCGTTAGGCTTGCTCGCCGCAACAGTGTCCTTCTCCTGTGAGCCTTCTTTGTCTTTGCACTTATCCTTTTCTTCCGATCTGGGCCTTTGCCGATTTTCTCTTATCCTCTGTGGTTGAGGGTTAGTGGAAATAGGAGTGGAAGCCATTACATGCTGTGTTGCAACGGTAGTGGGAACGGGATTAGGCGCTGCTTTGGTCGTTGAGACAGCAGTAACGGTAGGTGGCGCCACCGCTAACGGTGATTGCGCTACCGGTACGATAGCTTCATGAGGAACTATATCACTATTATCTGTGGACGTTTCCACATCTTCATTTTGAGGCACAACTGGTTTGGTTTTAAGTGTTTTTTGTTGCTTATTAGCTGGATTCTTATTAGTATCTATAACTAAAGACTGATTATTCTGATCACTATTTTTTTGGAGTTGCTTAGGCAATTTAGGCACTATAACAGGACTATCTGATATTGCTGACACAACTGGTGTTTCATTAGGTTCTACAGCAACATCAGGCCCTAAATTCTTATTCTCGTTATTAGTTAATATTTCAGACTTTCCTAGATTACTATTAATAGTAGTTATTGCGTTTATTTGAGGTTGCGGGTTTGATGCGGAAATTGCAGTAGGCACATCATTGCTTTTTGTTGATTTTGCAGCGCTTTCACTAGATGTTGGTTGATTAGCCGCTTCGTTTACCAATCTAGTAAATTCTTCAACAATACTATGCGTCGGTTGCTGTTGCTGCTCCTAGAAACAAAAATATTTTTTTTTTAAACTTATATATGTTTAGTAGTGTAGTAGGCCAAATCTGCTGTTCGGGAATAATTCAACAATGTAATAAAGATACACACTATTTGTAAGTCAATCATTGAAATATACTACTGACAATATTTTGTTCAAAAAGCACAACATTTGTAAAACAAATAATATAAAATACAAATACGCTCTACTAATACGCTCAACCAACCATAACCTCGAAGTATAAAACTAAGAAAAACTATAGGTATATTTCGTAAATGCGTTTACGTTTCATTTATTATTAAGAACATTACTAACATATAATAGTATTCGATAAATAACCATTAATCGGCGAATACGAATATTCCTATTCGATGAACCATTAGTATGTTTTTTTTTATTAACTACATATTTAAAAAAGAACCGGTTCAATAAAGTGATAATATATAAAAAAAATCTTTTATTTTATTCAAATATAAACTTATTAAAAGCACTTTTGTATCGTCTAAAATTTATATATTCCGACAACTCGTTCAGGACGAAGCAACATTAAATAAAAATCACTAAGACCTCGATTAGCACATAAAGTTGATATTCTCGGCTGTATCTCCAGTCGATAAAAGCTATTGATCTACATTGGGCACCGCGTGGTGGGATACCTGTTCCACCAATATGATTCTATTCATAGAAAACGTATGTGTCTTAGCAGTGCAAAGAATAAAATCATATTATAATACTAACTAAAGTAATGTACTTTCATTTACCATTTTATAACTTTGACATAATTTACTTACAGGCTGCGGAGTTTGTCTCTCACTGGAATCACCACTCAGATACTGATTTTCGTTAGATGATATTTCAGAAAATATGTCTTGCTCTAAAACAATTAAATTGGTTACTATTATGTTATCAGCAAAATTTATACTTGTTATAAATTTAAACATTATTTAGAAAATACAAAAATATACGGGAATGAGGGTAAAATATGAAATTGCTGTTTTAACCACTGGCCATCTGCCTTATGATTAAAATAAAACTTGCTACGTTTCAAATTCATTAATTTTAATTTATATTTAAAATAAATAAATCTCTATATTTTGGTCGGAAGGTTGATTTTTAAGGAGTAAATTCCCATACAATTTGGTAAGTAGGTACGAATAAAAATAATAATGGATTATATATCGCCAAAAATAATAATAATGATATTATAATAATTGGCGCTAGTTTTTGTCGCTATTAAAAATAACCTTACATATATTGCTTCTTTTCTGTATAAATAAATAGAGTATTTCTTTTCTGTATATATAAATAGAGTATTTAGGGCATTAAATTACAATATAAATTTATGAGCATATCATGTGATATTCAAATTGTATACTAAGATCCCGAGTGTGACGGTGCTGCCTTACTTTCGTGACCTTTTTAAATTTGGATAATTCTGATGAAAAGTCATCACAAATATTGATATAAACACCCTGTAATCGTATTTGCACATGGTAACGTCAAACGATAATAAAACTTTTTTTCTTATACTCTCTGGCATCTATCACTTCACACATACATTTGATGGATTCACTTTGACCAAAATTCAGACACGGTTTGAAGACTACTGAAAGAACTCTCCTTATCATGATGATAAGGTGTGCTAAGAACGGTTTTATTTTGGATACTCCACCCGGACGAGTGTTAATTAGGGTGAAAAGGTTTATTATGGATGGATGTTTATGAAAGATCTTTTTTTTTTGGACCTATGGCGATGAATTTGGTAATCTAGTGGTTAAAATTCCTCGTAATATAATGATGAATTTAATCCCAAAATCTAGCATGGGAATGAAAATGGCAGCTGGGAGTTCGGACAAGTACGCGTTCATGTGCGGAAGCAAAGGCCTGCAAAAGTATTGCGAAAGCAAAACTTCTTCGTAATGTTAGAATACTGCACTTTTTTCGCAACGAAATGTCATTGTAACTTTTGTGGCTTAAATACAAGACGGAAACTTCATAAATTTATTCCTACAACATCCAGGAAAGCGCAGACAGTGTATCGGTACGTTACCATTCCTTTCTAGACGCAACAGGAAGAAATTAGCAGAAATATCTGATACTGCGCCAGTTTCTATACACAATGTTTTTTGATTTCGAGACAAGCATTACATCACCCAAAAAAGGAACGATTGTAGAAGACGGAATTGAAATACTACATGGTCCTCGAGATAATTTATATAACTAATTCCATTTACTAGTGTGCACAATGGTAAACATTAAAAAGTAAGAGTTTTCCTATATTTACGAGTTCACGCTAGGAAATGTTTTAAACAATTAACTTATAAGTGACTTATAGTTTAGGAAATTTATGAGCCAACCTAAGAAATTTGTCATTATTTCGTCACGAACTTATTAATAATCTTACTTACTAATATATAATTAATGTCATAATCAATGAAGAATCCATATCAAAATACAAAATAGTGGCGTAGTACGGGCGGACACGATATGTTACTTTAAGATTAGGTCCTTTACATATGAAATTGGCGTTTTGTCGTAATGGCCACTGTAATCACAAATTTCTCCTCCTTGATTGGGAATTCCAAATTATGCGCCTCGGTATATTTCGTGCTTACGTATTTGACCGATCAAGAAACAATGTGTGATCATCGTTTAAAGTGACAGCACGCAATATTTCAGTATTAAGAATTGTATAGAGCTGTAATACGCCAAATTACCTTATTTGAATATAGGTACTTAATTTATTCCTACATAATTTTGCAAGGTATTATGGAATGGATACCAATTTAATAAAAGGAAAACCTATAAGTGGTCAGTCCCGTGAAATAATATACAACGTGTACCTGTACTTTTTAACAGAAGCTAATGTTTTTAAAAAGTCTGAAAATGGATATTTTAATAAAGTTCAAGACCGCGTGGTCAAAGCCTGGCATATCCAGACAATTTCTGCAAAATTTTATAAGAGACAAAGAAAGTAATGGTAGGTCTGCATTTAACACACCTAAGAAAGGAAGACCTAAGAAGAATTTCAGGTTAAAACTGGACAGTTTTGATTACAGTGTGATTAGAAACATGGTATATGACTTTCATTTAAGATTTAAGGAAGTTCCTACTGTAAAGTCTTTAAAAATTAAACGAATAATAATATTAATTGGTTTCCAAGGATGTGCAGATACATTAAGAAAAATTCTTAAAGATATGGGGTTTAGATTTATGAAGACAGAAAATAAAAGAAGTCTCCTTGCAGAAAAATCTGTTGTACGTCTAAGAAGAATTGAATATATTAAGAAAATATAGGCTTTAAGAGTTGCCGGAAAAAATATTGTATACATGGATGAATCATATGTTTATACTTCTCACACAAAAGGCAAGTCCTGGCTTGATAAAAATAAAAAAGGGGTTAAACAACCGAATTCCAAAGGTGAACGCATTATTATCATACATGCCGGTAATGAGAAAGGTTTTGTACCTGGTGCATTACTACTAGGTAAATGTTTGGATTCTGATGGAGATTATCATCAAGCAATAAACGAAGACACATATCAAATTGGCTCCGCAATCAACTGATTCCCAATTTACTTCCAAACAGTATGCTAATAATCGACAATGCACCATACCATAACCAGTTATTGGTTAAGTCGCCTAATTCTAATACACGGCGACCTGATTTGATAGCTTGGTTGGAGCGGAACCATATTCCTTTTGACCCTATATTAACAAAGCCTGAGTTATATAAAATTATATTGACTCATAAAGTGAGTTTGGCTGTCTTTACCATTGACAAAATTTTACAAGAGCATGGACATTCGGTTTTACGATTACCACCATATCATCCTGATTTTAACCCCATCAAGAATATTTGGTTCCAAATAAAGGGGCACGTAGCGAAAAAAATGTTGCCATGAGTGTGACCTTGGTAAAAAAACTTATATTAGAAAAAGTTAACATGATAGGACCCGACGAACGGAAGAAAGTATGTAATCATGCTATCAAGTGTGAGGATGAGTACCGGAAATTTGAGCCCGTGTTTGACAACCATTCGGATAGATTCATTTTAAATATTGGTTCCAGCAGCGACAGTAATGATTCTGAGTCTGAAATGTCAGGTATAGAAGTCATATCAAATTGTGATTAATTGATAAATTTATATTGATTGATGACTTTGGTTTATTAAAAAAAACTGTTCTACTTACTGGTGTCAGAAACTTATTTAGTTAGTACAACCGATTTATCTTAATTCGATTTTCTTTAATCTGGGGTTTTCATTTTGGTATCAGCTGATGGCAAGAAACACAGTATACTTTTATTTTTAAATTGGCTGACCTAATCTAAATTTAAGCGAAATGATTAATTATGTAATAACAACTCTATATAGATATCTTTAAAATACATTAGGATTGCCGAAGCTTGACGAATATAGCCGAAGCGTATAATTTAAATAGTATACATATGTGTACACATGTGTTTGTGTTTCGTTAGGCGGCTTTAATTTTTTTTCTTCTGTTTGTCCTATTTACGTCACTCAGTATAAAAAATTGAAAACTTGAAGTATCGTATTATTTACGAGTACGAGTTCCAGCGTGGTACCAGTGCTGCGGAAACGGCTCCAAGGTTTAATGATGTGTATGGCAGTTGTGTCGCAAAAGAAAAGTTGAAAGGTACCTTACGAGTTGAGTGAACCAAACCAGCAAACGCGCTTCGACTGCTGCGTTACATTATTTAACCGGCACAATAATGAAGGGTTTTAAAAACGAATCATTACCTGTGATGAAAAGTGGATTCTCTACGATAATCGGAAGCGCTCATCGCAATGGTTGGACCGTGACATGCCAGCCAAACTCTAGCCTAAGCGAAAAATGACCCCAAAAAAGCTACTTGTAAGCGTTTGTTGGACCTAGTGCCGGTATCGTTCATTACAGTTTTCTCTAATCTGACCAGATAATTACGGCAGTCGTCTATTGTCAGCAATTGCAAACCATGCTGGAAAACTAGCTGTTAAACAACCGAGGCTGGTCAATCGCTCTACGCCACTGCTATTTCACGACAACGCTACATGATACACTGCACAACAGACGGCTACCAAATTAGAAGAGCTTCAATTGGAATGTCTAAGACATCCACCGTACTCCACGGACCTTGCTCCAACAGATTACCATTTTTTTCGAAATTCGGATAACTTCTTGCAAGGGAAAAAATTCAACTCCGATGTGGCAGTGCAAATTGATATAAAATCTTCGTGGTTTGAGATTTTTGAAAGAAAATTTTTACATATGGTTTATATGATATTCTTCTTTAAAAAAATGTGAAACGTTTGAATGTCGACTTTCAAATGTTTTTGTTATTCAACTAGACAAGAAAGATGGATACTGCGAAAATTAGAGTGTTTTTTTAATACGAGTTCCGACACGGAAGTAACGCGGCAGATACAGCCCGCAATATCAATGTTGCGTTTAGAGAGAGATCTGCTAATGAACGCACCGTGCGATTTTGGTTTAAACGCTTTCGTGATGGAAACTTCGACTTGAAGAACGAGTCACAAGGAAGACCGCCCACGCAGGTGAATAACGATGAATTAAGAGAGATGGTGGAAGCCGATCCTAGTCAAACTACCCAGGAATTAGCGGCATGGTTTAACGTTACCTTACTCACAATATCGACGACTCATTTGCGACAAATCAATAAAAAAAGAAAGGAAAATGGGTGTCTCATCATTTGACTGATCTGCAGAAAGAAACGCGTGTTGTAACTTGTGTTGCCTTGTTGTATCGGTACAGAAATGAAGGAATATTGGATCGAATTGTGACATGTAATGAAAAGTGGATTCTTTATGATAGCTGTAAAAAAAAAAATTCAATGGCTGACCCCAGGTCAAACGCCACAACATTGTCCTAAAGCATAACTTACCAAAAAAAAGGTAATGATAACTGTTTGGTGGTCTCAGCATGGTGATATTCACTATAGTTTTGTCTGATCTGGTCAAGCAATAACGACAGATGTCTATTGTGCCGAACTCCGAACTATGTTGGAAAAACTAGCAGTAAAACAGCCCCGACTCATGAACCGATCTTCTCACAGTTCTATCGCAAAGGCTTAAATGACCTTCTTATTAGATGGCAACAATGTATAGATTATAATGGTAACTATTTTAGATTAAATAAATTTGTTAAAAATTAAACAATTTTGATTTTCAGTACAAATCATCAATTTCATACTTTAACCCCTATTATTCCATGTTACGTTATTTGTGTGGTCGAAGTGTCTATTTATTTGGTCTGAATTTGACGGCAGAACTTAGAAATGATGTTTGAAAAAAAATGCCTGGGCATTTTCCTATCACAGGTGTTTCCTAGATCAGATAAAACTTTGTTAGGCATAGCCAGAAAAATGTTTTATATTTTGAACTTGACATGACCTTTGATTTGATTGAGTAGTTAAACCACAGGTGGCTCTAAACCCCAGAACGACGGATCTTTTTTTTTATGCTAAAACATAGGCTTTAAAATTAAAATCCTACAATTATACTCACGAGTGACAGGGTTGATGATAGGTACTCTGTGACTCTGACGCTTCGTTGGTTGTAATAAGGTTGGACGTATACCTGTCAACAAATAAAGACATTTCATCATCATATTCAAAAGTAGACGTTTCAAAAATGCCAAAGCCAACATAAACAAAATGAACTGTGCTCCGAAACAGAATTTGACATCAAAAATGTATGAAAAAAAAAAAACAAAAAATTACACCATAAATATAAATTTCTATAGGGAAGGACACTTCCATATAAAGGACTTAAAAATGAGATTTGCATAAAAACCACAAAGTTATTCCTTAAGGATTTTATTAAAATAATGTAACAACAGATGTCAGTGTTACTGCTTCTATCGTCCCGAAATTATTTTTAATAATATTTCAATTTATATTAAATAACGAAATATGAGAAAAATGTTAGCATTTTTCTCATAACTTTAGAGTTATATGTAGCAACACTGATTTGAATGATATACACCAATATTGGATAACATACAATAAACTGATTTATAATATATTTTTCAAGAACCATTGAGTCGAACTGTGGTTTTCTGTAGTTTATTAAATATTAACCACAGGATGTCTATGTTTCTTGAAAAATTTAACTGCTTTTCAAATTTACTATTTTTATATATTATCGATAGATCAATAGAAATAGAGAAACCTGAGGACAGGTGAAGTACTACAAGGATCGGGCAAGACAACCAAAGAGTAAAGTATATAAGACAACTTTACTGATTTTAGCCTTCAATTTAGATTTTTCATCTGAGTTCAAAACTTAATACAAAATCTACAAAGAGCATATTTACATACAAATATGAAAAGTATAATCTATGTACAAAAAGGATATTAATCTTAATACTAATTTTGAACATATCTTTTGTTTTTTAGCTGATATAAACATGACATAAAGTTATTTAGGCAATGTCTGATTAAAGGCATATTTTGTTTTGTTATAAAAACAATACAACAGATTCAATTTTAATTAAAATTAATAGACCACGTTGGCCCGTTAATCTATCGATTATAAAGAATTTTGATAATCTATTCATAATTGGCGGAGTAATCGCGTAACAAACATACAAAAAAATACAGTCGAATTGAGAACCTCCTTCTTTTTTGAAGTCGGTTAAAAATGGATGATTGTTTGTTGTTGTTTCTGCGTATGCGACGACGTTAAAGGATAATGCCTTTTTTATAGGAATTCGTAACAGATTTGCGTCAACATAAATTTACAAGTTTTATTTAACTTTTCACTACCACGAAGATTTCATCATAATTTGACAGCAATTTTAAGATATCCAAATAAAATTAATAAGGACTTTGTTTTATTGATAATTAATTACTACGACTATTACCCCATTTATTTAAGGCTGCACTTAAGAATTGAATTTGCACGATATAGATTACTTCTCTCACGTGATAATATTTAACTATATAAGCAGGCACCATAAACGCCGACTGGCCTTTACCAAGTTACCTGTGACACAATACGGTACAGAAAAAGGCAATCTCATTTGAAACATTTGAAACTTTTGAAGTTTAGAAGAGTCGAAGTCGAGATCACTGTTGAGGATTTTTGTTTTGAGTTGAATTCTCTTCTCTTCAATTTACGTTAAGACGTTTTGGTGGCGGTAATGACAATCAAGTTTTTATTATTTCATCATCATCAAAGACCTATAAATGAAAAATTGAAAGATTTTCTTTATTTTCGGAAATGCGTAAGACTTAGCCCAGTTTACATAAATTCCTTTGTTTTAAAATTTATTATGAAATATATAGAATATTATGTAATTGATTTATTTTGGTAATTTGAGGGAAGTCATTTTTTTATTTATGGAATAGGGGGCAGTCGAGCAGGCGGATCACCTGATGGTGAGTGATTACCGCCGCCCATGGACACCTGCAACACCAGAGGAGCTACAAGTGCGCTGCCGGCCTTTGAGGGACGAATAAGCTCTACGCTTGAAAGTTTGAAGGTCGTATTAATATAATATAATATAATATGTAAGGTATATTTCTCTCAAATTCCAGTAAAATATAATCAGATACTGTACATTACATATCATATAGACATAACATATATACATATATATTTGAAAGAAAAAAGTAATTTTTCAAAGAATTAAATCATCAAAGTAATAAATCAGTTCAAAGTATTTTGTATCTGACTTAAGATAATCGTTTGTGACAAGAAAGTAACAGGTTTATGGCAAATAAATAGTAACACAATAAACTTACCAGGTATAGCTTGATGCATATGAACAGGTGCTTGAGGGTGCGACAATGACGATGTGGGAGCGGTAGGAGTAGCGGGCGTTCCTTGCGGCCCAACTAATGTGGTGGGATTATTTCTGCCGCCTGGCGCGTTCGCTTGTAGGTTAGGCGTAGGAAGCGGTTGATTATTTGAAGTGTAATTGTAATCTATGAGATAACAACATAGTTATATACAACTTCTGCTTTTTAAAATAAGTAAAAATAGTGTTTTAATATTTAAAAAAAAAGTTCAATGATAATACTGTGATTCATTTCAATTTATACATAATTTTAATGTCTAATGATTGATGCACTGAATAGTACTCCAATCGACGTAACACTTGGTGATCACTCTCTTAAGAATATAAACCATTTCAAATATCAAGGTAGCACCTTAACATCCAGGTGCCTTCCCTTGATAACGAAGTCAACAGCAGAATTGGAGCAGCTGCTGCAGCATTTGGAAGGCTTCGTTTCGAGGTGTTTCGCTCACATGAAGTCAAGCTCTCTACAAAGGTAGCTGTGTACATGGCAATTGTAATACCTAGTCTTCTATATGCTTCTGAAACGTGGCCTCTATACCGCAAGCACATTGTTGCACTGGATAGGTTCTATCTTAAATGTCTACGTAATATCATGAATCTACGCTGGTCGGACCTCGTACGTAACACAGAAGTTTTACGGCGGGCAAATGTCGTGGGAATAGAGGCACATCTAATGCGAACACAGCTGCAAAGGACCGGTCACGGATGTCGGTCTATAGACTATCGAAGCGCAATTATAGCAGTTGAAACTTTAAATTGATATATAATTTCCTTCAATGACATATATTACGCTGGAATAACTGTTTATACCTGGAAATAATTGAAAGCATACTTACAGGGGGTTGTGTGACTTGGAGGATTACTGTAACTTATAAATGGCGCCATATTATATGAAAAGTACCTGAATAAAAAAAAATAAACACATTCAAGTAAACTGCTTTTTCCATACTCAAAAAGTCACGAATTTATTATTTCTTTTAAGAATTTATTCACTTTTTAACCAAAATTTGCTTCACAATTGATAAAAGTACATACAGTATGGATTTAATTTTACAGATAATAAAAAAAATTGAGCTTGTCAATATGCGCGACTATACACATATATGAACGTCTATGTTTAGCCGACTATGTTTACTTTATTAACTGATCAAAACAAGAAACAAATTATATTTACCCTTGTGTACTCGACCTTGGCTGTTGATACGTTTGCATACTCATATGTGGCTGGAACATTATAGGATGATACACCATCGGACCTGTTGCAGCGCTAGGTATGAACTGCTGTTGTTGCCTTTATAAAAAGAAAACCGATCTTAAAATAGCTGTATAATATAACAAACAGAAGTTAAGCCAGCACAGTAACAGCAGATCAACGAATCAGTTCAGATAACACTCTTTGCCACTTATCAACGATGACAATATTGTAATTAAGTATTGTAACGTAGACTCAATTAATTAAGAAATTTTGGCTCGCATGACTTGACGCTACCGCCCGCGCCGCAAACGCCACCGCCACCGCGCACGCGGATTCCAATTTGAGGTCTAATGCTAAACTAAACGGTATGTAAGTTAAGTATAAAGCTTATGATGTGGTTCTTTACTATAAATTATCGGATCTGATTTCCAAATTTACAAAAAACCTCCTCTTCTCTTTTCGAAGTTGGTCAATGATGTGAATTTGAAATCGGATCTGATAACATGAATAAAGAATGAGGAAAACACAGAGTGTGATGATTCTTTTACAAAAGCTGATGCTTGTCATGTGGTTCCAAAGAGCGAGATCATATCAGTATTATTATTTTGAAGTCGGTTTAGATATTATTAATTTTAGGCTGGGGTTACACATAAGTAAAATCTGAACAGTAATGACGATAATTATTTCGTTAATAATGCTATAATTTGATCGGCTCCACTTGATCGGTCAATATACATAATTATTATTGTTTTAAAGTAATAATACTGTTTGTTTTAACGTTTCTGAAGCTCAAGGAGAGCGGATATTATGCGAAGCAAAGTATCATCAACATAAATAGCATTATTAACACGAGTTAAGAATAAATAACTTATTTACATGATATTATATTAAAGGGATCCATTCATATAGCCACAACTTTACCCCATACAGCTATAAAACAGTTTTAGGTAATTAGATAACAAAGTTACACATCGAAACCCAACAAATAATATTAATTGGGTTCAAATTCCGTTCACACTACACGCGTAATGGTGCACTTGTCTTCATATTACCTATTACCCCGAATACTAACAATGTTACCTACATAAAACGCTTAGCTAAACATTATTCCTCCAATCAATTTGTACGAATCGCGCAGAATGAATGTTTCAAAGTTTTCTTTTACTTCCTTTCTTTAGGCAAGTAAGACAGTACATCACTTGTACTGTACTGCAAGATTACAGACGGTATATGAAAACACGAGGTATTTACTTTTCTTAGTAACAACGTCGTTATCGGTGCACAATGATTGATTACGCAGTTAGCAATTAGCTTCGTCTGCGTGACCACTGTGAATACTGCCTCAGTAAGCAGGCAGTTCTTTTGACACGTGTCAGGTTTTTGTTGACACATCACAATCGTTATAAGTATCACTGAATAACCATGATAACCATTTGGGAGTTTTATTATTTGTAATAGACGGGTAGGTTTTAACATTATATTACTATAGAGAACATCTCCCAATAAATTGATTGTACCTTAGGTCTAATTGTGATAAAACCTGAAGTAACGCTAAGATAACATTGTTAGTATTGACGAAAAAATGTATTTCAAATATATAATTCATATTGCTTTAGCTACACGAGTGGCCACGTACTGACTGAATGAGCAGCCACGAGAAAGCGTCGTTTGCTTCACCAGCACTAAGCTGCCGCGCGCGACCAGGCCAAGCAAGCCATGGTGAAGTTAAGCAAGAATAATACGCTTAGTTTAACTTCTAAACGAACTTAGGCAGCGCATGTATTTGATATGCGTATTTTAACGTTAATTGTAGCCAGTTTTGCTCAAAACCGAAACTGAAACCGAGGATTTGCATTATCCGTACGATAGTCTGTTAGCGCAATCAGGTCGCGACTATTAGACGATTATACAAGTAAAATAGTTTTGGGATAAAATATATATACAAAGGAACATCAGAAAGGGATCACAATTAGCTTAACGACGAAAGATTGGTAACCTTGATACAGAATTTTATTTATTTAATAATAAATATGTGATAGATTGAATTAAGTGTTTTTGAAAAATTTTTAAACGGTGTTTACTCTGGATCATGCTGATGATTTGGTATTTAAAAAATTGCTGTATTCATTCTATAATTCATAAAATGATTTCAATAAACATGATAATTTTATAAGTATTTACCTAGGATGTGTGTTGGGTCTGGTTCCATGTTGTGTTGGTCTGTATTGGAAGTTTGGATATTGAGGCCGCGCTTGTGGAGTCTGATTTTGCGGTGCCACGTAACTATGGCCAGCCTGGAATTGATAGGAATAAAATGCTATAAGATAAAAACCATTCTTCACATCGACATATTGAACTTCAAAATCTTATGTTCTTGGACTAAATATAGTTCAAAGAAATCAAGGACATTCGAATAACAGCAAGTCTATAATAAGATATTAAAACTGACTAATTTAAGTAATTCACCAAGTAAACACATATAAACAACAACCACTGTGCTCCATGCAGATATCTCAATTCTTTGTAAACAAAAAAAAGATTGATAAGTTACAAAGAATACGAAATTGGTTCAAAAAATGATAGAGAATGAAATATAACAGTAGAGATTTGTGTTATTTTTTCAGTAAACAAATAATAATCTTTCAGTAAAACCGTATTACATTATGTATATGTCACCGTAAAGTTGTAAAAAATGTCTGGTACAGAAATTAATAAATCTTACGACGCTCATTAGTAACTGACATTCGTTTTAAATTAGTATACGGTGTCATTTTTGACTATGTTTTGCATAAGAAAATTTGGTGCTGCGTTTTCAGTCTGTGAATAACTAAGACTACAGAAGTAAAGTCATTGTATTTTAGTTTACAAAAGTACAGGTGTCTACGGAATACGGCATAAGTTCGTTCTATTTAGGAATATTATTGAACTTTTCAAATCATCAAACCCCTACATCTATTTATATGACCAAACTTGAACGGATATATCAAAGTTGTAAAATAATGATCAGTTTTAAGTTTAAATGCCCATTTCATTATATGGTTGGCAAATTACGAAGTGATTTTAAATATTGGGGGCTTACCGTTTCCCTAGCCGGAGTTAAACAACACAATTATATCCAGTTAGTCTAACTTTAATATAACGTTAAAATTCAAATTAAAAGACAGTTGCATAAAGGTCAATAAATTATGCGGTAGACCCGATGTAAACATGTAGGTTTAAGATAGTTTACCATAGTATTTTTTGTCAAGTCCTGTTGAGGTGCCGGTGGCGCCGACGGCTGTGGTGTTTGTTGGACCCTCATCGAAGTCTGTCCGGAGGTCTGCGCGCCGCCGGCCGTGCTCGGTATATAAGTGGCTCCAGTTGCGCCTGTGGGATGGAAACAATCCACTGGTCCTGCCGAATACAAAACTAATTTAGACTCATCAAATAAAAGACTATTGTTGATCCTGCTATATCTCTCCAACTCACTGTGTGGTGTTGATGCCCGTGGATAACTGCGTTGCGCTAAGGAAATTTGTCGGTTTAATAATTTAGTTAATCGTATTTATTTAGTTTAAAACACATTGCCACATTCTTAATTTTAATAAAAAGATTTTATTAAACGCATAGCTTATATAAAAAGTATAAATATATTATACGAGGAATAAAACAGAAACTGTTAATGTAGTTATTTTATAGTGCATTACTAGGAGTAACTTACTGGTCTGTGTTAGGAGCCTATACTGGCGTGAAGGCAGCATACAATTTGAACTAGAGTATCTAGTAGAGGATTGCTCATGTTTAAGAGAGGTAGGATTATTTTGCTGCAATATGAACTGCAGGGAAACATTGTTAAGCGGTTGTAAATTGATTTGATTCGAATTCATGTGCTGCGTCACACCAGACTGGGACATATTCAATGATGTTTGTAAACTCTGCGCCACATCAATTGCACTGTGTTGTGACTGATTGCCATGGTTGACACAGGCGTGCGATAAAGAATTTATAGAGTTATTCGTACCTCTTAGAGCCACCATTTTAATTTCATGATACAATTCTTTTAAAATTTGAACAAGCCAAACGTCGAACCATTCCCAGAAAAGTGGAGAGACGTTCATCGACATGGGGTGTTAATTATTCTAAAATATCACCTCATAATACTGATGTTTTTATTTTTAATCACATTGGAATACCTCACATTAAAATAGAACTTTTTTACATGTGTTACAAATAACTGTTATCAAAATATTAATACAGCACCAGTCATTTAACTCACTACACGGATGTCGAGGTTCGATAGTAAAACCTATTCACGTAAATTACGCATATTGCTAAAATATTGGCAGTCCGCATTCACAATTTAAATAGTAATTTAATGCAGCATAGAGAAAATCGATAAGGAAAGCGCGCTACATGGCTCTATGCTCGCTCTAAAATTAAAATCACCACGACACTTTTACTACAACTTAAAACATTTTTATTTATTACTTTGTATCAAATATAAACTTTTCTATAATCAATATTTAATAATCATTATCGAGATAATCTTCGGAAAACGTCCTTTGAAAGATAATAGTACAGAACATTTCGTGTCGTATTATAAAAGGGCAGAACGAAAGAGCGAGACAAAAATACAATGTAGGATTCGGCGCCTCGATTTTGGGGCGTTCCCCAGTGCCCCCTAGTAACCCCCGACGCTAGCTTCATTTCGATTAACATCGTAAAGATACTCAACAAGCGTACATTGCTGTTCATAATACAATACTAGCAAACTCCTCTGAACGGAAAAGGCCAATGGATAGTGTTCAAAGTATTTTTCCCCTCAGTGAAAATGTTATTGATATGTCGACCGACTTCTGTCACCACGTATAAAGGGGAGTGAGTTTAGTGCGGAGGGTTAATTTTTTTCTGTGGCCTCGCATGTCAATGCATTTTGCCAACACTACAATATTGTTATTGTACGATCAAACTAAAGAGAAATTAGAAAAATCTAAACCGTATAGTTGTTAATACTACTTTAATAAATGGCGTAGAAAATGAGAAAGCTCGAAAATGCTACATTTTACCAATTTGAACGGAGCTAAGTGTAGTAATAACGCAGTAAAATACAAATTAGTATTGACATATATTTAAACTTAAACTTACTATTTAAAACTACACCAATAGAAATATTACAAAGTTTCTAATAATAAACAAATTAATATATGTTTATGCAATAATACGAATGACGTTATAGCATTAAAAGACTACTAGAGCCTATATTTATGTTTGGAGTCTATGACAAAGAAACAAGTTAAACCATTATTCTCGACGGAATGATCACAGTAAATCAGGAAAACTAAAGGAAAAGGACTTAACCATATAATCTGTAGTATGGGATTTAGATGAGCTCTCTAACATGATAAGAGTTCATGAACAAGGTTTTACACACTTCATGTTTGTCCATACGTTAGGCTACTGTATGTCCAAACTGATATTATCTTCTCTTTATGCTGCATGCTGTCAGTTTAACCATGCCATATGGTTGACGATTGTGAAGTCTTCCACTTTTGATTGCTTACTATTTCAAAAGCCGCTCTACTCAGATCGCATTGTCTTTTGCGACATTTGAAATATGCAAACAAAAATATTCAAACCATACAAATTTCGATACCCAACTTTATTTTAACATGCAAAATTAAAATTACAGGTAAGAACTGTAGAACTAGCCGATAGTTATCGACGTTCGCAGAGAAACAATCGATTTTGAATCGAAATAAGACGAATCTACACTCATACACGCAATCAGTTTTAAAAAATACATAGAGAATCCGTGTCGTCTGACGAGTAGTAGTTTGGTCACACCACAGAACGTATTACAACAGCTTATCTACCCATTCCTCTAATGGTAGATCCACAGTTCCACACAGCCCGAGTGTGAACCTGAGGGCTAAATATTCAGAGTCAGATTGTATACCTATAACACAAGTCAAAAATTAAAGACCTTTTTCTTTGTGATTTATCGTCGCAGCAACGGTGCGCGAGACATTAAAATGACCAAATGCCAAACATATGCCGCGTTGAAATATTGAGAAGATACTAGCATAAAAAGAGCTGAACAGAGAAAACGATGAATAGTTAATGTACGCATGTTCACTGCCTGAATTAGCCTCAGAAATTACGGTTCGGGAGGATCTCGATACTCCGAAATATATTTGGCATATCAGACTTAGCATAATCATATTTTGAATAATAGTCAGAGAGTTATAAACATTATAAGGCGTTTGGGATTTTAGAAATGTATAATATTAAGATGTAATTTACTTTCGCATAAATTCGTTTAGCAAAACAAGGTTGGCTTAGCAAAAGAAAAAAACGGAGGGAGCCGCAGCTATCTTAATATACAACTACCTACAATCGTATCTTTAAAAATATGTACTTATAGGTTAATAGTAAATGCCAAAAGACGGTTCTGCTGACTGTGAACTTTATGTGAAACTATGTTTCTACTTTTAAATTATATAATATTCAAATTTTATACACCTAAAGGTGGTTCTGACTCTCAAATTTTGAATGTATGCTAGGTGTATAATTGCATATTGCATTCCGCAAATTGAGTTGAATGCCATGCAAATGGTTAATGCATGGCATATCTGAGTGATAAAATATTTTTATGCAAGTTTGGTACATTCAATGTGCTCTCCTTCATTTTGCTCCAATGTTCATCACTTGTCAATGGTAAAAGCTGATCAAAACTGTTACATATGACTTTTTTCATCTCTTATTCATATAATTGTTAAAGAACATACATAACTTATATAAATAAAATAAAAAATAAAATAAAATAATGCTATAGAGAAAACAATATTAAAGGAAATCTGTTACTTGATTTCATTTAATTTGTACTTCTTTGTAACAAAGGTTAATCCTATATAAAACCCAAGATTACTGAAGGTAATACTGCATATCCTATCAGGGAAACATACTACACAAGTTTACTGAAGGAAACATCCTATAACCCACCAAGCTCCATCCAACACATTTATTATAACAGAATTTAACACATCTATGAATTTAAGAAAAAATTTACTTACTAGAAACCAATTAAAATGGGAAATTAATAAACTACTTTTATTTCATTCCAGTAAAATAGTATTAGTAAGTTTATATTAAAATAGTATTTATTATCATCAGGGCATGCAGTCTCATCAAAATCCCTATAGTTAAAGTATCTGTATTAGTTGTGAACAGAATTCAAGTCAAGTTATCAATATGTGTTGGTTTCCAATTGATTAAGTTTGACAACTCATTAAATGAGCTTTGCAATCACTCTTTATATATGGCTATCAATGTCGAGACTGCATGTTCAGAACTATGTAGGTATCATGCAGCTGGATACTCAAATGTCCATTAAAATTTAACCAGTTTAATGCCACATTACTAATTTCAATTTTAAATATTAATTTGACCATAGTTGTCATTAAACATTTAATGGATGTTTGTGCAACTGACCATTAGTAATTCATTATATATAAAAAGAACTAGACAAACCAGACATTATCTTATCTTTAATAACTTTGATGCTTGCATAACTTATTACATACATTGATTATTAAAGTTTTCCTAGAATAATAATGAACATAATGAATTTTTAATTAGTTTAGTTATATACTTTGTACTTAAATAGGATGACTCATTGGTACTCTTTATATAGATATATCATCAAAAAGAGCATGCATGCAGCATGTTATACATATTTTAGCATGACTATAGAAATGAGTAATAAGTATTATGTTCTTTTTTTAAGCAAAAGTAGACTGTAAAGTAGAATTTACCTTGTCAACTTAATTTGCTTGCACAGTTTACAGTTGAAGATGAAACATATACTAATTCACTTTTTTCATAACAAAAATCTATAAAATAGGAATAGTTACAAAATGTGAAACATTAAAAATCTAATGCATTGCCAATAAATGTATAGTTATACACAAACAAACTAAGCTTATTGCCTCCTGCAAGAAATCATGTTTGGGAAAGCTGTTGTTAACTATTTGATGTACTTACAGACATAATTCTTGAACTGTTAACTGTTTAAAAACATGTCTTGCAGATTAAATGCAGCTATTATTTAATTACCTGTACACATATCAATATGAATAATGCTTATGTCATCTAGACAACACATAAATAAGAACTCTAGGAATTAATAATAATAATTTTTTTTCTGTAAGGTCAAACATTAAAACATAAATACACAGCTTCGCTAGCAAAATGACAGTCGCATTAAACTAACATATAAACAAATAGATACAAGTACACTAAATATATTGTCTTTTACATTCATTGACCATCTAATTTAGCAATGACTACTAATGAAACAAATATTTTAACATTTTAAGTGACTGTCTATATTAATGTTTTAACTAACAATGAATTGCAAAACAAAAAGATCATTCATAATAAATAAAATTGTAATAAATTTAGATTCAGTGGTTATTGGGAATTTTATATTATGATCTATAAAAAGCATTCTGAGACTCTAATAACAAGTTTGAAATATCAAGGCTAATAAAGTCTTTGTCCAATAGAGATTGCTTATAAAAAGTCTATGTATTTAGTGAATACACTGAAATTAAAACAACAAATTGCTTTGAAGACACTAACTGGGAGAAATTATCTTATATGGAATAACAATGATAGCAATTCCCACTATGGGAATCCCCTCGTTTTGGATTCAGTGCTAAGACAATATTTAATTTATTGATAATCAAAAGTAGTAAAAGTGTGTGATAATAATCACCAAGTAATCACATGGCTTTGACATTTGTATAATTTAAAAGTGATTAATTATCAAGCATCAATAAGCACGTTTGAGGGCATAGCTTGATGTAAAATAAATATTACATTATTTACTCAGAGTATTGATAAGAAAATGTTTTATAGATGAAAGTTACAGTTCTAGGAAAACAAGATCAGATCATTTATAATAAACACAACACACGGCTATTCGCAAATGCGGCACAACCAGGTGCTGAAGTGGCAAAATATTACGTAAATATGATGATAAAATAGTAAACACGTTATTAAAAAGGATACGGTCCGGGCCCGCGCTGATTCGGCGCCAACGGCACCTGATTCCCGTTGCCACTCATATTCTAGGCAGCATAGGTATCGGGACACGTACACCACTCGAGGTGGCACGTAAAATCGCCCTAACCGATTGTAGGACACATCCGGCACATAGGTAGATGATATACCGACGTCAAATTGACAAGTCACACGCTTTAATTTATTGCCTTCGAAAACAACGTTTCTAACAAAAACATTGTACACCACTTGCAAAGTCACAATATATATTTCCTGGAAAATTATATAGCATCACTAGGAAAGGGATCCAGTCACTAAACAAACGACAATACAAAATGGCGGATGTTAACCAATAAACAAACGTGACTGTCACTGATAATGTCTCAAATTGCAACTCACTTATTTTTACCGTTCGCGTTATCGTATTAATTATTTCAAAACGTTAATAAAAATGTAAAAATATTAACTCTGGTATATGAATATCAGTACATAATATTTTAAAATCTTAAAACTGTCATTCGATCGTTCACGTCTACTCACGTCACGCATGCAATGTAGGGATGATCAATGTTCGATGATCATCGTTGTTGAAAGCAAAAACATCGATGTTGCTATACGAAAAATATGGTAACATTGATGTTAACGGAATCAATTATCGATGTTAATTCACGGCCTCACGTAAATCTAACGCGTTATAATTCTCACATCCCGAGCCTTAATAATAAATGTAATAGCAAAAACAAGAAACCGATAAAAACGCGCGTTAAGTTTAAATGTTATGTATCTTTATCAAATTAACGTTAATAATTAAATTTTGCATGTAAAGTATAAGAAAAGGTAGAATACTAAAATAATTCAAAAATTTCAGGTTGAAAACATGAAAAATAAATGAATTTAGCCATTATAGTTTTTAATTTATATTGCAGTAATAGTACAATTATTTACTAAATCGTTTTTTAACAATTTAAAATGCAGTAGAGTGAGATGTTACTGCATTTCATTTTCATTGAACAGTTTTTATATTATATTAATGAAAAAGAGTAAGTAATCAAAATTCTCATTGCATATTAGGTGGTAATATTAGCGTATTTTCAGATAAATTTACAAATTTTACACCTTGATAAAAAAAAAGACTATCACTGGTCGCAGAAAAACAATATAATTTAGGCATATAGAGTTTGAATGGGATTTAGGACGATATGAACTCATAAACGCAAATGTTGCTATTATTGCGCTTTTTAGGCTCGACAGTATTATGAAAAATATAGACGTTATTTATAGAAAAAATAAAACTCTATTTTTAATATGATATGTATGTAATACATGTAATGTACTATATATATATATATATATATATATATATATATATACATATATATATATATATATATATATATGTCATATATACATGTCATCAAATAATATGCAAAAACCAACATTTAAACAGTTTCACATACTATATATGTATTTCAATTTATTTACGTTTGTTCTCATAATAATTTATTAATTCGCAATGATGCAAAGTAAGTATGTTATTTCAAATTACTTTCCAAGTAATTTACGCGAAATTAAAAATTTACCATAACTGAGTTTTCGTTATTATTATGCAAAATTTATCATCCTAAAATTCATTTTCATTGATATTTTTTAACGATTTTACTGTATTTTATTTCTTTAACAGTTATTGTAAAAATCACCTACGTTATCCAACACCAATGTTTAGTTTTTTGATAATGATCGAACATCAATGGTGGCTATCAATTATGATATTGGTTTCATAATCGATGTTTTTCTAATATCAACATCCCTAATGCAATACTTTCGTCACATTCACGCAATCGCATTTTTTCTGTTTTTTACAATAGCAACAAGAAAGAGCGAGGTGGCAATAACGATAGTTGATGACAAAAATGTTACTCTATGAAATCTCTATGATAATTATTTTAAAATAATCTGTCTTCTTCTTCTTTTTAAGGAGAAAGTATTTAAAAAAAATATTAGTTCCCGAAATCAAACAAGATGTCACTACGGTACTTTCTAGATTTCTCCATGACAACCCTTCCACTTTTCTTTCATTTATAAAAGTAAATTAGTTTTCAAAACTCAATAAACAACTCATATTCTATTTGTGCTTTTTGGTATTTGTATTGATATCTAAGTTTCGGACTTTTCAAATTGCAGTTTTTTTATATGAAAGGTAAAAGGAACGGAAATGACTGTCTTTGGTCTATTTGTTTCCTGCAAAAATCAACTTTTGCTAGAGTCGCCATCTAGCGGAGGTGCTTTTTTAGTGCTTTCGTTTTTTTTAAATACTTCCTCATTTAAATTATCACTAATGGTAGGTAGACATGTTCTTAAAAAACAGGTGATAGGTCAATCAATGTATAGAAAGTGGACATGACATATCCTTACTAATTTCGGAACAGCATTATTTACATAAAATAGTTAAAAATATCTGTGAAATTGTAGGAACCGTTATGTTGAAGGTGTGGTTCTACTGGATGATGGAGACAACTGGCAAGGGAGATTAAAGGTAATTCTCCTTCCGAGCTAGGTGTTGTTATGAAGTTGTCACTAATGAGCGGAGTGAAAGGTACGACATAATCTTGAAGAACTTCTTCCACGTATCTTTGAGCGTTTACACTTCCTCTATCGAAGACAAGATCGGTACGAGCCTCAAAGGAGATACCCCCCATACCATTATAGACCCTACCTGGTAAACTTCTGTTTCAGTCATAGCGCATGAAGCAAACCTCTCATTTTGACACTGTAGACACGCTGACGTCCATCTGAACCTCTTAAGGCTATTCTGCTCTCATCTGAGATCAGTATATTCTTATATTCTTCTACAGTCCAGTCAAAATACTCTCGCGCAAAATTAAGTCTATCTCTACGGTGTTGTGGGAGCAGTTTCGGAGCGCTGCGGAGCTGGAATAAAAGCCCTCAAATTACTTTCTGCTAGTCTTCTTTTAATAGTACGTTCACTGACACTGACATTTCTCACTTCAAAAAGAGGCGTACGAGCTTCATTTGCAGTCGAAAAGCGATTTCTCCACACATCGGTGACAACGAAACAGTCATCTTGAGTCGAAGTGCATTGATGTCGGCCTTGATCTGGATTGCGGGTGTATAAACCTGTCTCCCGAAATCGTCTGATGGCATCTCGTACCGTAGTTCGAGGTACACAGAATGTGCGAGCGATGCGACGCTGGCTATATGCCATATATATACATATAAGTGAATGAAAAAAAATTCGGAGCGTCGTGATGACTATCGAGTTTCCATTGCGAATACCACAGAAAATAGAAAGACAATATCAATTTCCATGCATGACATGATAACCATATAGTTCAATTCACTCCTGGTCAGACAGTAACGCGCGCTAGCGGCGTTTTCGAGTTATACAGAATATGAAATTTCAATCTCACCGCGGATACAGCTTTCTGATGTCGCAAATGCGTTTACTTACACTTACAGAATGCTGTAATGTAATCGATACAGATACAAAACAGGACTATTCATAACGATATAAACAAACTGCTTATTCGCGACTAGGTATTAACGCTCCGTATGATCCAACAGGAAACTAAAGTAGACATCAATGATGCTGAAACTTTCATTCTAAATTTTCAATAGTAATACAATTATAAAAAGAGAAGATATACCGCGCTTCAGACGACCACAGCGCCATTTATCGAAAATGAGAGTAAGCAATGTATTTGACTGCGATTGTTTAACCCCCGGTTTCAATAATATACCGACAACCATCGGTAGCAGCTACCGACCGTTTTTTGAGCTACCGACAACCATTCGTTTTTGCGTTTCACAATCATCGGTAGGCGCCTACCAACTACGAACGGTTGTCGGTAGCTCATTTTTTTAAATTGTAATTATATAATTCGAGGAAAAAGGATCTTTCCATACAGCCTTGTCTTAGGTAATATTATGATTATACTGAAATGTTGGTCTTTAACATTTAATAATTTTCTTGGATAAAATCGAAATCGTAAGAAGGAAGACAGAGACATCAATAGGAAAGAGGTGAACTGATTACGTACCGAACCTAAATTTGAAATTTGTTTTGGAATTATAATGACTTATTATATGATTAGGTTCCTAAAAGTGGTGTTATTGTGAAACAAATTATCGTCTGAAATGGAATTCTGATGTAAACAAAAGAGTTACCATTACAACAAAAAGTTTAGATTTATCTCTTTAAAAGTTTTTAGTTTTTTTTTTACTTGAACTAAAAATCCATTTATTTAGATAAAAATATTTTATGCTGCAGGCAAGAAACAGCAATTCGGAACATTTGGCTCATTGAATTACACTTTTTTTATTTAGTATGATTTATCGTAAAATATTTTTAAATAACACGTTTTCCCTTGTTAATTAAAAGAAAAGTAACAGTTTTTCATTAAAAAAATAATATTGTAGAAGAGCTCAATGTGTTTTGTGGTTCAGATTAGAAGAATTTAAGTTGTAATCATGCCAATGTTTGTACCTTTAAGGGCTCTTACTACCAATTAATTATTGGTCCAGATGTTTCTACAATATGTTTCTTTTGAAAAACATAATAATTTACCTCTATATAATTATGAAAAACCTGGTTCTGATGAAACTGAATTTGCAATCTACTGTACAAGTATTTTATTCGATATTGATTTACAATTCAAAGTACTTAAATTTGAAGAAGTAATGAAATTCTTATAGGCTAATGTCAACAAATCTTATATTTTTATCCTCACTTTGTTATACAAAATTAGTAACACTTGAATGAGAAACCTTCTCTTTTATTGAAGTCGATAAAGAGAAAAAGAAGTCGAGAAAATAAGACTATACATCTTATATTCGTAATATTATTTGCAAAAACAAAATTATAATTATAACCTTTTGGAAAATGTTTGCAACTCCTGAAATAACATCATTTGTTTATATAAGTTTTTTTTTATCTCGAATTAAATTTCGGAATATAAATAAACGTGTGCAATACACAGTTCATTGAAATGGTACGGTGCATGGTTATGAGGAGTGTTTTGTCAATTTGTAGTACAAGAAGCGAACGTGTTACTTTGATGTACCTCACCATTTTCTAATATATTTCAAATTTTGCTTCCAAAAAAAGCATTTTAAACGTCCAAGTGAACCTCAATGTGAATATTGTTCACTCTAGACTAGGTTGTATGTGCTATATCCCTTTGCCTTTAATTATGCCAAAAAGTAAAGTTGATTTATGTTCCGTAGAAGCTTAGCGGGAATTTTATATAGAGTTCACCTTTATTATAAATTTTAATTGTATAAAGTGATTTGTATATATTTTACTATACATATTGAATTTGCAAGATAAAATTAATGAAATTTGACAGTGAACAATTGTGATCCATTGACATAGGGATGATAAATGAATGGTTATTAGAAAAAGTGGAATGATTGTATCAAATCGTAAAACAAACGTAGATAAATGCAATGGAATAATGTAAAAATTATGTAGTTTTTAATGAATTGTTTTTTATTTGTAAAATAAATAAGTTATATCCAAATTGGGTTTTATTAAGA